ACTCTAAGCCCCACTCCTGACTGCAATGAGACTCCACCACGTTCGCCTAAACCCCAAGCCCCCCACATGATACAAATGATTCGTTTTGAGCCCTGAAGGATGTGAATCTGGACATGACTCTGAAAAGAACTCGAGCCGATGTTGGGTGGGTGCCCCACGAGGAGCCTGTTGCGATGTTTGTGTTTTTTGTTTAATTGTCTCAGGGGCATGAGGTCTACCGTATTGGAGTTGAGTTTAGGAAACTGTCAGGGACTTCTAGTGCCCCCTGCCACCCATCCTTTGGAAGTATCGGATGACCGGATTTGCTAGAGCCGTGACCGTTGCTTTGGGGACGTCTCTAAGATGCACGGAGTATACACTCTAAAGCTCAGACGTTGCCATCATAAGCAGAAGGCCATCAGCCTCTTTGAAAAACAGATCATTGGCCGTGACTCGAAGCCTTGGTCGCGCGCGCCTCTAACGTCCACCAGCACGCCCTAAGCCACCAACATGCACCAACCATTGCCTGACGGTTTAGGGTTTGGGGGTTTTAGGGTTTAGGGTTTACGGTTTAGTTTTGGGGTTTAGGGAGTTTAGGGTTTGCCGTTGAAAGGACGACTGCGTCTTGGCCACGATGCCCCAGGGCAGCGTTCTTCTCTATCCCTCAGCCACTGTCCATGGGGCCTCAGCAAACCGATCCTTGGCGCGCAACCCTCAACCCTAAACCCTATACGGGGGAAAGCAACCGAAAGGGAAAAGGGAAAAGAAACAACCCCTAACAGCTGCCTATGATATGAATTTCCCAGATCGAACCAGAAACAAGAACACCCAACCCTAAGGGGAGAAGGGACGGGACTACTCCAACCCGTTAAACCCAACCCCAACCACACGGACTTTTTCAACACAAGCTGACGGCTCTTGGCCATCTTGAGCCAAACATGTTTGCGGGTATATTACCCTTCCAACCTATACAATGCAACCTCCGCACTCCCCCTGTCCTGAGGTTCCCTCAGGACACCCTTGGAGGTGTAGATTTCCTTCCATTCTGGCCAAAAGCTGTTCTTTCACAGCAGCCATCCAAATGTTTAACGTCCATTAGACGGGCCGTAGCCACTGGCTTGCAAACCATGGTTTTACGTCATCCAGGACGAGTGAATTAAAATACCTTTCTTGAAGACCTTTCGTCTTCTTCACCACAAACCGTGGTCTTCGATTCCCTAAGGGCTATACACTCTCTACCATCAGGGATTTCCTTACCCTTAATGGCAAAACCCTAACCCTTTTTGCTCGACGCATTGGTCTTTCATCCAACCATTCTGCAAATTGTCACCAAATGTGGGAAAAAGAATTCATCCTTTGTACGTCCCATCCTTGAAGACCAGTCACTTGTTCGTCTCCCGACCAGCTTCGCAGATCTTATGTAGTTGCACCAAAATGCTCTCAAGATCCTGAACCTGTACCAACGGATCAGTCAAACATCGCTGAATGGAGGATATCAATCCTTCTCGCCGTGCTTCTTCTATCGCTTTACACGATGTGGTCACCTGTGGCATGTTGGTAACCGGCTCCGAGGCAGCGGAAACTGAGGCATGTCCCTTTTTCACGGACTCTCCTCCTTCATCTGGTGTTACATCCCTTTTCTTGGGACTTGATGACTTCTCCTTCTTTTGTAACCGATTTGCAGAACCGCCAGTTTTGACCGCGCCCGATGAGAAGATTTTTCTGCCTTGGGAATTGCCACCTTTTTTGCTGGCAAATTCACCTCTGCACGATCCATATTGATTGGCCTCTTCTTTGGCCTTGGGGCCAACACCGTGTATGGATCATGCGTTGCAGCAAGTTTCCTCTTTTTCTTGCTCTTCTCCGGCTCCTCATCAACTTCGACGATCACTTCTGTGACCTCTGGTACCACCTCCTCAACTGCAGGCTCGTCAGCTGACCCTTCCTCCAAAGGTCTTTTTGTACCACCATTGGGGCCGCTTTCACCATCCAGCTGAGCTTTTTCGTACCAGATCCTTAAATCATTTGTCCATTCCTCAACCTCTGCCAGCGGAACGTCATAGGATCTAATCACCTCATACAATTCCAGCACCGATAACATCTTGTCCGTCCACGACAGCCACTCTTCGTTTTTCTGATCCTCATCAGTTATCCTCAAAAGCTTGAAAATTGGCTCTCCTTCCCAGCGATCGATGTTATCTTTTCCACCAGACATGTATGACACCGCTTCGGCAATTAGGTTGCTTTTTTCTGTTTCTTCGTCGTAAACCATTTCGTCCTCTGAAACCTCTCCTCTTTCAGGAGAAAAACTCCTTCCACCATCGCCCTTCTTGGGACAATTCCCTTGGCGGGGTAGCAGGCGACCTTGGCCTCTCAGTGCGCTCGCTATGCTCAAATACGCATTGATTGCCTCGCGTGCGTTTTCCAGTTTGAAAAAACTGAATACATCTCACACCAGTCGCATCGTGCGAATATTTGCAGTCCTTTCCAGCATGACACCCACGTCCATCCACATAGTACCGACACCAGTACGAAGCTAACACCACATCCTCATTGGAATGAATAAATTTGCAGTCCTCTCCAAACCTGCAGCGATCGTTCCCTTTTTTGAACCAATAACAGATACCTTGCCTCCTCTTTGACAGGCGTTCTGCTTCTAAACGGTCCATCACACGATCCCGCTCTACATGGACATTGCCATGACCTGGAGCACCCAAGGTGCTAGTTGTGGATGCTTCAGTGGAACTTCCTGATGGTGCTGATATAGGGACTAAGGCACTTGGCCCGCAGAGGATCAAGACGTTGATGGCAGTGGATCGCGCAGGATCCGCCTGTCGAAACCACTAAGGCAAAATCCGTTCAGCACGTGAAGGATTGCCTAAGGGCAGTCATTTTGGCCTGTTGCCTGTGCAACGCCAGAGCCACTAAGGACCAGGACAGGACCCAGAGTAGTGAAGATTGGTCTCTTGTAGTGTTTGCTGTGCTAATCTCAATCACGTCCATTGCAGTTTGGGAAGGCTTGTTTGAGGGCAGTGTTTCGACAAGCCAAGGATCTCCTCAGGCCGAGACTCCCAGCCCCAGAACCTGAAGAGCTTTTCATTCCTGAACAGCCCGAAGATGAGTATGAAGGCCCAGATCCTGATGAGGCCCCCATTGCTCGTGTTAGGGATCCCGTTCCCGCAATGACCCCTGCAGAAGGCTTGAGGCGAAGGCCCCCGAGACCTGTAGCGCAGCAGGAGCCTGATGTAGAGCCTCAAGGCCGCCCTATCACATAGCCTCAAGGCCGCCCTATCACATTTGCCTTTGCTGACGATGAAGTTCAGGTTTTTGTGCCAGGCCCAGCAGACGCACCAGCGAACCCGCCTGAGCCTGTTCACGGAGACATAATCGCCCAGCCTAGAGGCCCCTTCCAAGCAAGGCCCCTACGGCTCAATCATCCACCTGATCCGCCCTATATCCTCAGGGTCGGCTGGCCCGCCCCCATGCTGCAGCCAACTATGAGGGCTGACGAGGACATCGTGGCATGGAGATCAATCCACACTTTTCCAGGCACCGCCGCCAGAGTTTCGACAGGACTTCTTTCAGTACGATGCAGAGAGGCCAACTGTCTTAGTACGCTGGCACGCTGTCGTGAGAGTTCGTCGCTTCGACTCAGCGCAGACCAGGTTGCCCGTTCCTCTGGGAGCACTCACAGGCCGCAGGAGGACGCTAGCCATATATGCAGCTGGTGAGCGACAGTATTATGATGATAGCTGGCGAAGCCCAGAAGCTGCTCGCCGGTACCATGAACACGAATGGCGTGGTCGCACTGAACTCGAGGTCGATGTGCGACGCCTTTGCCCGGATCCAGTGAGAGCCTTATTCGACGTTTCGAATGATGATGCTCTTTTGCCTCCCATTATGCAGTTGGTGACACGTCACCAAGGGGGAGCGCGAGTGAGTGAGCAGCCAGTTTGAGAATGCGAGTATCAACATATCCGAAACCGCTTTGGCCTCAAGGTCTACAGAGGAGCCCAGGCCACAAGCACATGTTTTTTGTTCAAAGCAAATATGTATAGTGTACAGCATTTAGGCAGAAGTCATAGGACACAGACTCCTATCAGAACCTTCCTTATTTCTTGTCTTGTTTTGTGTTGCTGCTTGGTGGCAAAAAGGAGAGCCCTGCGTAACCCCGCTGTGGAGCTAGCTTCCTGCCCACGCGAGACCCCAAACCCCAAACCCCAAATCCCAAACCCCAAACCCCAAACCCCAAACCCTAAACCCTGAAGCCTAAAGCCTAAACCCTAGACCCTAAACCCTAAACCCTAAGCCCTAAGCCCTAAACCCTAAACCCTAAACAGTGGGTTTTCTTGCCTTCTGAAGGGGTCCAGTGATTTCGAGGATTCATAGGGTGTTGGTCCGGGTTTTAGGGATTCAGGGTTCATGCGGCTTAGGGGTGAGGATGACTCGGTTAAGGGCTTCGAATTTAGAGTTTTGGATTTGAGGGTTCGGGTTCAGGGGCGACGGTCATGCAATCAGTGATTGGTGGTTTTTAACGGCACACTGCTGCTGCTGCTGCGCTACGCTTTGTCAGCAATCTAAAAACTATTGGGTGTTGCAGTGGGAGGCAACAATGTGGGTTTTCACTAGCAGGTTGGGGCAGGGCTTATGGGGAACCTAAGCTGAGGAGTCCGGACCCCACTCTCAAGTATTGAAGAAGTATGTTAGATGTGTCGTTTGCATAGTTGCATGCGGGCAGCTCAGACCCTGAATGCAAACTCACGGTGTGGGGTTTTGAGTCTTGAGGGGGGAGCTTGGGGACGGTTGTTTTTGACATGATTGAGGCCTTCGAGCCTTTTTTAGGCTGACAGTGCAAGGCACAGCCTGTCCTTCCTTTTCCAACTCCAAGCTGGCATGCCCAGATTACACCTTAAAGCAACATGCCCAAGGATCTAGGACCCAAACAAAGCTTGTGCCTTTACTTCAGGCTGAAAAAGGTTTGCATCGGCTGGTTTGTAGCAGGAACGGACGACGTTCGAGACATGTGCCTCTTTGCCTACTCTCCTGCTTGGGTCCGGCAGGAAGAGAATATGCACCTTTGGCGAAGGGTAGACAAGCGAAGAGTTCAGGGGTGGAGGACTTAACTACTTAAGTTATGGAGGTGCGGCACATGCGGCTAGCGCAGAGTACAAAACCTCGCGGGAAGTTAAGATGCAGGACAGGGTTTGTTGTTCAGATTTTCTTGGGTATGGTCGGGAGTTGTGTCTAGTGCTTTGGGTACTTTCCTTCACGCAGAGGCTGCCAGAGCTACAGTCAGCGTGGCAAGGAGTGTGTTGGCAATGTTGGCAAGGCCTCGTCAGCTCCATTTTGAGGTCTGGAAGTATTCTTGCATGCTGCATGAGGCCGTATGCATGAAACTCTAGAAATGGTGGAAGCTTGTGTTGCTGGATCCATCTTGCACCGCCTCGTTGACTCTGGTAGTCTTCAACGCTCACTGAGTTAAGTAGACAACCAGAAGATACTAGCGCGATTTTTACTACTTCGGCTCGTTGTTATTGTTTTACTCTGCAAGGTATCTGACCACGCCTCCTGAAGTGGCTGTGAAGCTGCCTCCGGTCCCCTGCCAAACTTACGCCTGCGGGTTTGAAGAAACAAAAATGTTCTTTCTTTCGGGCTGAGGGTTTGGAGTTTAGAGACTTGCAGCTCAGGGCCTAGGAATTGCGTTTCAGGGTCTGGTGTTTAGGGCCTAGAGTTCAAGGTTTCGGGCTCAGCCTTGAAGCCAAACCCTGGACCGCGCGTTCTTTCTCTACTCAGAAGAGCTCCGGGCACAAAGAACGCTTCGGGTTTCCAGCAGAGTCTCAACTTGCTAAAGATCTTTTAGCATGCCTTGGTGCCTCCACTAATTTGGGCTGGTACGCTGCTTCTAGCAGCTGGCAATGCCAGGTCGTGCAGGAGCTCATCGGATATTCTCTCCATGGGCAGGCGTGGCTTAAGTTTGTACGAGAATGTCAAACAGGGTTTATATTACTCTTATTGGTGAGTGTATATAAGGTTCCTTTTTAATATAAACCCTACTTCATTCCAGATCTTAGGACAGTTAAGTCTCCTTAGAGCACATCCAGATCCTGTTCCTCAACCTCGGTACGTACATCTGACCGCCGACGCGCTGAAGGAAAAGATGGATGATAAGGCTATCCTTGGACATATGTGGCACATGCTAGTGTGCACCTGCTTTCTTGTACCTCCCCAACTTTCCTGACACCTGAGCCCCGGCCGCCATGAATCCCATTGAAAAGCAGGTGCTTGGAATGGTTGACGTGAACGGCGACATGGGTGACCCCCAGGATCTACTGAAGGAGACTACAAGTTTTGAAGGGTCTAGGGATGCGTCTCACGTCTGGAGAGACGAGAAGTGCGTTTGAGGTTGGAAGGCTGTAGGAGCGGTGGGCATGTCCGCAATGGGTTCATGACTGCGCCTCTGCTTTCAGCAAGTCTTGAGTCGAGCCCCGTTTTCTGTAGTCGTCAACACTCTGCGTAACGACCCTGATAAAGCTTTAGAGTTCCAATCGATGCGAATCGTGCTGGCCACAGCACTTGAGCTCTGACACCGGCCACCGATCCCGGAGCCCGAGGGATCAAAGGGCTCTGGGGTCTCGATGGTTCAGCAAGATTCCGGCCTAGCTTGCTGGAAGCAGCGAACTACTCTGATCCCTCAAACCTCCAATCTTGAGCTTGCAAATAAAGCCCCTGCCCAAACTCTAATGTTTCAGTTAACCGCAAGTCCACCCTAGACTCCCCCCAGCCAGACATGGAACTTAAGGACTTTGTTGACGTCCTTGAACCTTGCAGAACCTTAAACCCCTGAATCCCTAAACCTTGAATGCCTGGTAAGATGGACCCCGGAAAAGCCACAGCACCCAGGAGAAGTTCCACAGCACCAACGCTACGCTTCCGGTCCTGAGCCGTTGGAGGGTTAGGGCTCGGGGTTAAGGCTTTTTGCGGCTTGGGGCTTGGGGATTTGGGTTTTAATTGGCAAGTTTGGGATTGGAGTTTGCTGGACACCCTCCCCCCCACATGGGAGGCGATGACGGGAGGAGGAATGTCAGTCGAGTTGGTCGCAACCGGGTTGCGTCAGGCAGGTTTGGCTCGGCCAAGTTGGGAATGGCCGGCGGTCGAGTTGGCAAGAGAGAGAACGTGACGAGCTGGGAACGTCCAGCAGTGGCTTAGGGTCTTTCGGGCACAAGTTTATTTCCGCTCGCTTGGGCCTCTCGGTGAGAGGTTCAGGGGCACCCTCCAATTATCCGAGAAAATTATCCAAGAAGAGAAGCGCGGGCAAAGTCCGCCGTTTTTTTTGCATGGAGCCTCAGAGAAGCCTGCAGAGTGTCCGAGTATCTGCATCCCTAGGGAAGACCACAGAGACTGCCAACGAGTATCCACTTCCAGAAAAGCCCGCAAGAGTCCCGCCGAGTATCCCTGTAGTGACCAACCTCAGGGACTTGCGCGGAGAGTGAAGCTTCAGGGTATTTCGGGTTTTAGGGTTTGGAGATGTTAGGGTGTGAGGGAGGGGAGGGAAGGGAGGGGAGGAAAGGGAGGGATGGAAGGGAAGGGAGGAAGGACATCAAGAAGGGTAACGGGGGTAGGGGAGAAGGAGGAGTAAGGGGGAGAAGGGGGAGGAAAGGGTAAGGAGGGCCCTCGATATCAACTTGGGGTTTGCCAAAATAAGGGACCCCCAACATAAACCCCCAAATAGTAGGATCCCTTGTAATCAGGACCCCAAGAAGGTATCCCCTAATATCGGAAACCCCCAAATCGAGCAGGAGCCGCCGCGAGATGCAGTGCTCCGACACGCGCAAGGCCTTTGCCGCTTCTTTGCGGTCGGCCTGCGAGCACAGCGGCTTCCTGTACCTGGCGCGGTGGGGGAGGAGTTGCGGTAAGGCTTGAGCAGTTTGAGTGTGAAAGAAAATTTTTCAGGTGTTGGATGGGGGATAAGGATCTGGGGATGAGAGGGCTGTTATGGTCCACTGGGGATGCAAGACTGGGCACGTGCAGTATTCCTACACCTCTTCTTCCATCCTTATAGTGCAGATATGCAAAAATGCATGGCTTAAGCAAAACCATGCCGTCATCTCCACAGGACATCCGCAAAACCCTTGCGGTCACAATAGCCCCAACACGCTGAGGCATGTGACGCACAGCACACGATGACCCTGAAATCCATGTCGTTCAGTCTAACAGAGTCTAACAACTTGTCAACAACAACTTGTTGTTGACCGTCGCCAGGTTCATTCCTTGAGTTTGTTCATGGCCCCATGATGGGCTTTGCACAAGTGGGACGTCCGCAACCCAAACCTCAGACCCTTCAGCCTTAATCCCTCAAGCCCAAACCTGGGACCCTGAGCCCTCAAACTTTTCTAAGATCCCAGAGCAGCCCCCCAGGTGGACCATGGCCTGGACAAAGAGCTCCCTGGATGCAACAGTTCGCGTTCCGAGATTCTGTGGTCTCAAGCTGCTGCGGCCCGTGGGTTCTTGGTGCTGTTGCGGCAATCCTCGAAGAGGTTTAGAGTTTTGCTTAGCAGACTTATGTAAGTATGTAGACATCCTGAAAGTGAAGGGAGTCATATGGTCACTTAAAGCAGAGAGCTCGCCCTGGTGCGGTCTTCCTTTCGAGTTTCGGAAGGGCTAGCGCTTGATGAAAAAAGAGCCTGACTCGTCGTTTTGTAGAAAGCTGTGCAAACAGGGTCCACAAATAGACCTTGCCCTAGGTTGTCCTGGAGCCATGACCAAGGTAGACCTAAGCTTTTTTACTAGGGCATAGGGTTTCGTGCCCAGGGTCACTCGAAACCTGAAAAGGTTGGAGACGGCTCAGCGTGCCCTGCGCAGATTCTTTGAGCAGCCGCACGAGGCTGCGAGGACATGTGCAAGAGACTGGTTAGGGTTTAGGGTGTAGGGTTTAGATGGTCACACAGTTCAGTGGAGTTTGGGTAGTACTTCGAAGAGTGCTGCTGGTCGCTGTGCTGCTAGTACCAGGTAGTTGCAGTACACTTCACTTGCATGGGTGGGTCCTTTATCTACCCCCAAAGGAACCCATAAGGGATCCAGGTCCACCCCCCAAAAAAATTGCAAGAATACAAAGCAAAAACGACTTCTGAATCCCCTGACAGGTCAAGGCCAAGCTCGGCACGGCAGCAACTCAGACTGACCATGTCAAGGCTGCAAACCTTCCGCGCCTGCAACTAGCCATCCCGACCAACTAGAGCCTTCGTGAATCCCTCGAAGTTTCACAGAAATCTACCTGCCCCACCGCCCCCCAACCCGACTCCCCGAGCACATGAGCAAAAGCGGCACTGGATCTCCATATGCACAGCTTGAGGGTCTCTTTTTGCCTCGTTTGCCTCCACTCGGTGCGGCACGGTCACTTTGTCGGGAAACCCGATACGAGTCCTGCGCTTAAGCAATGGCCTTTTGCAGGAAGCCGAAAACATCAAGGCCCCTGAGCCCCAGAGCCCTTTCCCAAAACCCTGAACTTCATACCGCCTTGGAAAGTCTGAGGCGAGCCGTGTTTTCCCGCAGCATTCACGCGGCTACGTGGCCAACGAGACCTTAGACCCTTCACGCCAGGGCCAGCTAGACTTGAAGGCGCTTGGGTTTGGGCTTCAGGGTTGTTGTGTTTAAGTTTTTCGCTCAAGAACAAAATGTTCTGCAATTACCAGATTCAGGGGGGGCTGATATGAGTTGCTTCGTCTACTGGTGCTATGATTTTCCTTGCTCCGCCGTTTCGTGTTGTGTTTGCCTTCGCTGTTTCTCTTGGTGCTTCAACGGTCCAGTTGTCGTTGCCCTTCTTATCACTAGACGTAGTTCTGGCTTGCTTTTTAAAGTCGATAAGCCACGTCATGTCTCCTGCTCTTGAGTGATTTTTCTTACGCGGTTTCCAATCTTCTTCAGTCCCGGCGGGACTCAGTTCAGCCGAAGCCACAAACCCTAACCCCTAACCCTAAGCCCTACACCTCCGAACCCTCGAATGTTGGCTTCGCATCCAGTGCTTGAATCGCTCGAAACCACGAGCTCGAGCTTGCAAATGGCGCTTTTTTGCCCCTGGGTCTGTGGAGGGAAGGCCGAAACAGGAGTGGTTCGACGAAAACATGCAGAGAGTGCACCCCGAACCCGAAGCCTTTGTCAGACCTCACCATTCTCCTGGCCAGGAGAGTTTGGAGGTTGGTTTGGAGCGACCTGAGGAATCCGATCCCAGGCTCAGAGGGACTGTGCTAAACATTTTTAGGGGTTTTAGGGTTTGGGAATTAGTGCGGTGTTTAGGGGTTTTGGAGATTGTGGCTAAGGGTTGGGGCACGCAATTCGTGCCCCGGCTAGGCTGCCCCCTGAGCTGAGCTGAGCCCCGTGCTTCTGATGTGTCGGGGCTGCCTTCCGCAAACTCCCCCCCACAATACAAAATGGAGCGTTCCAAAATAATTAATTGCAGAAGGGTTTGAGGATTGAGTTTCAGCTCCAGCCAGAAAGCGTTGAACCTGTTTGAAGAGAAAATTGACACCCCTGTACGAGCTAGGCTTGACTAACTAGGGTTTAGGGGGATGTTGGTTGTATCCCTATTTTGGGTCTTTTATTAGTTCCTTTGAGGTTGTAAGTCCGTGGAAACTAGCATTGTTGAGGATGGGCATGGGTTCGGAAAAAAGTCCTCCCCAGATGGCATCCCTTGAGCCTTCAGCCCTGAATGCCAAACCCCGGACAAACCAGGGCGCGGCCGTTCCGCGGCCCGAACAACTGGCCTTCCGAAGTCCCGGAATTGGAGCAGGCGCATAGAAGAATCTTTTGGGGGTGCTTTCGCTGTTGGGGCTTTCAGAGTCTGAGAGGGGCCAGATGTGCCAGAATCTTAGAGGGTTTGAGATGTTTTGGGGCTGTTTCTATTCAGGTACACTCGAGGATGAGGGCTTCAGGGGCTGTAGGGTTTTGGGATTCAAAGGCAGGGCCCCCCAGAGGCCACATGAAGGAGGGTTTGAATTGCTAGTGTCCCCAACGAGGACACAAAAAAAATGAGCTCACCAAGCTTCTTCAAGGAACCCTACATACACTCACCCCTAACAGTGATATGAACCTTGTTTCGCATCTATGAGCCCTGTTTCGCATCTTTTCCGGACATCGTACTTCTCTGCATTCTTCACGTGGCGACTACACTCTTTGAATCTCACCACCAGATTGCAACCTGAAACACTGAACTCTGAAGCAGTAGCTCAAAACCTCAACTCCTGGCCCCTAATCCCCCGCCCCCAAAAAAATGCGAGTCTTAAAGGAACCTCACCGCCTCAAGCTCTAAAAGCCTCCCCCCAACCTGCTTCCCCAAATCCCCCACAACCACCCTAAACCCTAAACCCTAAACCCTAAACCCTAAACCCTAAACCCTAAACCCTAAACCCTAAACCCCAAACCCCAAACCCCAAACCCCAAACCCCAAACCCCAAACCCCAAACCCTAAACCCTAAACCTTAAACCCCACTCCCAAAACTTGGGAGCTCTCAGGACTTCATGGCCGCCGTGCATGCCCTGCATGAGCTCTCCATGGAGCTCTTAGGGGCCCTGGAGGAGTGCCTGGAGGTGGAGCCAGGCTCTGAGGGTTGAGAGGGGCTTCGGGTTTCGGGTTTCGGGTTTAGGGTCAGGGCTGAGGGTCTAGGATTTCACGGGGTAGACTCTAGAGGCTTGGATTCCGGCTTGCGGGCCCTCAGAAGAGGGGCTGCCTTTGTAGAGTCTTCTCCACCACTGGTTTTACAAAGAGCCCCAACTCCGCGAAAGAACTTTGAGGTTCTTCAGGGTTTCAAGACTCAGGGGGTTTACATGGCTGGCAGTTTGAGACCCTCATCAAGTTCAAGCTTGCTTCCCCCCTTGGTTAGGGTTCAAGGTGTGGAGCCGAGGGAGAAAAAAGGATCATCATGTGGCTTTCTCGTTCCGGATGTATCTTCAGGGAGCGGCCTGCCATGAGGCCTTGCGTTTTCGATATTTTATGATCGGATTTTGTGGGTGCACTCGGCAGATATGTTGCCATTTGTTGTCATGCCCCCATAATTATTTCTGCAGCATGACTGCAGGCCTAGGGTCGTTGAGGCGCTAGGGGTTCTGGAGCACAAAATGGAGGGTTCGCACAATTGTCGTCACCTTCGTCCTCTAAGTGAGGACCTGAAGGAGACAGAGAGTTTTTTTGTTGATGGCAGGAAGTCTTGCCAAGTTGTGCGATGATCCGATGGTGTTGTGCCGTGGCCTTCACTACTATACGCCGCTGGGGGCAGAGGCGCGCAGGACATGGGGATAAGCACCACTGAGCTTGTTGAGAGTAACTGTTGAGTGGGTTGAGCGTTGCTGCTTCTTTTTGGGTTTTTTCTTCCCACAGAGGGTCTACAGGACGTCTGGGATGTCGGGCCGGGAGGGTCAAAGGCGACTGCTTGTAGCTCAGGGTGTACGGATGTATGGATTGCCTGACGGGGCCTCAAAGTCATGTGTTCCTTAGTGCGGGCATCTGGCAGCTTGTCCACACCAATACGGTACAGGTCCCCGTAGCTGATTTCCTAAAAAGATTCAGGTCCCTGGTCCCTGTGTGCAGGTTTCAAATCTGCTTGGGCGTTTCTGTTCTTACTCTTTGCTGTGAGGTTTAGTGTTTACATGCTAGCTTGGACTTCCTGAAGGCTGGGCGGCTGTGATACCTGTCTACAAAACGTATCACCTCGCACCCTCTTTCTCTAGAAAAAACGGTCTGAGGACCAAACCCAGAACTCCAAACTCCAAACCTGGAATTTAGAGCCCGAAATTCTTAGACCCCTTGAACCACAACCCCCAAATCCCATCAGACAAAGCAATCCCGTGGAACAGGTTGATCCGTTGTCCTTGGGCTGCTCTGCACACACGGACTACGGCCTCATCTCCCTTCTTCATCAAACGGGCCCAGGACACGTCTAAGCAATTCGAGCGATACTGAGTGCGCCTGATCATACAAGGGTCGGAGAAGTTACCAATAAATCCCCTTATGGCCCCTTAAAAACTATATGTAATACCCCCCCCCCCAAAAAAAAAAAAACCCTATGCCAATTATGAAGACCGCTATATTGGGCTCCTCACCTCTATCGGAAAGGGTGTTTTTCCTCCGTTGGCAGCCCCAAGTCACAGCAGCAAAGCATCGTGCGAAAGCAAAGGGCTTAGGGTTTAGGGTTTAGGGTTTCGGGCTTAGGGTTTAGGATTTAGGGTTTAGGGTTTGCGGTTTAAAGTTTAGGGGGGCTTCTCAGCAACCTTCACGAGTAGCCCCAACTTCATGCAAGTGAGGGGCTGCATGCCCACAGTCATCACGGCTGCTCGTTTTCTCGTCGTCTTAGATCACCCTCGGGCCTGGGGCGTCAAGTTGAATTAGGGCTGGGGAGGTTAGGGTTACGGGTGTCGGACCCAAACTCTTTCAAATGACCTTCCTGGGTCCTAATCACAGGTGCCCCCCAAAATTTGGTAACACGGGGTGGCGTGCCATTCCTTCATAGGATCCCGGCCCTAACACTCAGTCTATGAAAAGCATTGAAAAGCCCTCTATCCAAATGGCTGCTAGACCAGCCTGGTAACTATGTAAATTCAAATGGGTATGTCCCAAAACAGGGGTACCCCTTTTCTACCCCAAATAGAGTTGAATCCCCCTCAAAAAGGGACCCCCCAAAAAGCATACCCCCATTTTCAGAAACACCCCAAACTATAGGGGTCGGAATAATTATTAATAATATTCCCTTATGGTCCTTATATTGCTATACTATAGGCCCCTATATTACCTAAATTCAACCGAAGCTTTGAGGACTGCAAGTGCTCCATGCCGAGACGGAGACGTGGCTGGATGTGGCCCCTCTGCCCAGCCGCCTGGCCCGAAACTCTGAGCCGTCAAGCTTTTCTGAGAGCCCTAAGGCAGAAAACCCTCAACCCTCAACCCTCAACCCTCAGCCCTCAGCCCTCAGCCCTCAGCCCTGAACCCTCAACCCTCAACCCTAAACCCTACTTGCTTCAGGGCGAGGAGGGGTAGGGTTGAAAGCTTAAAGGCTTGCCAATTTGGGGGTTGGGCGTTTTGGGAATTGGCATCCAAGCGCCCAAGCCTTCCCGCACCATTTTTGGCTCAAGAAGCCATCACAAGACCGCAAGGCAGAATTATAAGGGTCGAACAATTACTAATGTATCCCCTTACGGTCCCTGAATATTTAGACTATCATAACCCCCCAAAACCCTACTCTAATTACTAAGGCCCCTAGATAGTACTTGCTTGCCCTACCCGGTGTCTTCTGCCTTGTTCTCTGCCCGCACCGAGGTTCCCTGGTTGTAAACCTGGGTGACCTGATGCAGAGAGTCGCGGATGCACTTTGGGATGTATAGGTGTAGGTTGGGATGTTCCCCCTTATACTAAGAGTCCTTAATAGGGATGATAAGAGGGGGTACGACAGGCCCTAGTAAGGACCGTTAGTACAAGGGGGACCATTCCAAAGTGTAGGGGTTGAAGGTTGAGCGGTTTGAGTGAGGGCCCAGGGATGTAGAACGATTTCAGGCTTGGAACTGTTTGCTTGAGATGGAGGATTTCCGTGCGCAACTCGGAGTATCTACGCCCGTGCAATCCTAAGAGCTGGGACAGGGTCGTACAAAATTCTCCCCTGCAAACAGCGTAGGACTCTGCATGAAGGACTTAATTAGGTTTCGTGACCAGCGTCTAGAAAAGCACCTAAGATGCATGAAGTTGTGCTTCCCCAGGTCCCTTGTGAAAAGGGTGTGTGTGAATGTGTGTGTGTGGGCACACGTGCCATTTTGTGAGTGCCGTCTGGCCTGTGTCCCGCAAGGTATACCAGCATGTTCATGAAACTGGACTCCGTTTAGGCGAATGCCGGTGTAAGATCACCCGGACGTGCAAATAAACATATTGCCAATATTGCTGCCAGAGGGAAAGTGTCGGTATTTGCGGTGGTTCCGAATTGTTGCAAAACCCGAAACCCTAAACCTTAAACAGGAGAAGAGGGATAGTGCGATAGAGGGGCGACGACAATCGTGGACCGGCGGGCGGGGGGGACCATATGGGGGTTTCCGAAATTCGGGGTATTTTATTGGAGTCCTTGCTTTCAGGGAATCCCTCTATTTGGGTCCTCATTTTCGGCTGCGCGTGCAGGGGGAGCGGGAGCTGGGGCGCGGGGAGCGGGAAACTCTTAAATCTGAGCAAAGCTCTTTGCCTCTTTGCTGTTCATCAGAAGTTCATCATGCCCAGGATGGACGAATGGACGCTTCAAGTCGACCGTACACCGCGTGCTCCCCCCCGCTGCAGGCAGGATGAAAAGGACCCAGGTCTGACCTAAACCCTCAACCCTAAACCCTAAAGCCTAAACTTACACTTCAAACCCTAAGCCCTAAACCCTTCACGGTTTGGGGTTTTCAGTGTTTGGGGAGTTCGAGGGTTGGGCTACTAATGGAAGAAAGGTTCCGGGTTCAGTGTTTAGGGCTCCTAGTTTGAGGATGTGCCTGTGTCTTTTTGGGTTTTCAAGGTTATAGGATGTGACTTGCGGCAGCTTGGTGGTGAAGGAAGAAACTCTTGATATTCACCCATGAATCCACAAATAACCTGTCAGATCGTGCCTATTCCCACTGTGACGGGAAACCGCGACTGCGGAAAACCGCGGGACGGTATGACCGGGTATGACCGGGTATGACCGGGTATGCCCGGGTATGACGATGCTCGGGTATGACCGGGTATGACCGGGTATGCCCGGGTATGCCCGGGTATGCCCGGGTATGACCGGGTATGACCGTGTATGACCGGGTATGACCGGGTATGACCGGGTATGCCCGGGTATGCCCGGGTATGCCCGGGTATGCCCGGGTATGCCCGGGTATGACCGGGTATGACCGGGTATGACCGGGTATGACTCGGGCGTACTCGAGCGTACTCGGGCGTACTCGGGCGTACTCGGACGTACTCGGGCGTACTCGGGCGTACTCGGGCGTACTCGGGCGTACTCGGGCGTACTCGGGCGTACTCGGGCGTACTCGGGAGTACGCAATGCCTATTCCGTATGTGTCCCCATGTGCAGCGGAGTAGATCGTAAGAAGAACTCCAGGCCCAGGTAGGGTCCAAACCTTGTCGAGGTTCGCTCTACCCAAACACGTGGTCCGAATCTCACAGCCAAGACCGATGTCTTCCAAGACTCCAAGACGCGTGAAGAGCGGTTGTGCGTGTTGGCCGATGCGTTTCGGATTGTTTGCGCTTGTATGCTGCGGATCGGTGCGATTCTGTGTGATGGTTTGTGCGGAGGGAGGGGGTGGTGATTTTGAAGATTTGTATTGGAGTTTTGGCCACAGCAAGGTTTGAGGCATTTGTTCAGTCGACATGCAGCACAACCGCCGGACTCCCCAGTAGGCCCGAAACCACCGCCACACCAAGGTTTGAGGCCTTGGCATGTGTGTCTCGAATGTCGCTGGGTGTCGTGGCGCATGTTGGTGAATCTGTGCCTCTCGCTATATGACTCGGTGAGTTGTTGTGTCGGAGTGTCGTGAGTCTCTGTCTCGGGCGCGGGCGCTGGCGCGGGCGCGGGCGGAGAGCAGCCCCAAAAACAACCCCAGATGGTGATGTGGGGAATAAACACCGTAATAGACACCGAAACCTTTATGACTTCGAGGCCACAAGCGCCAGTGCATTGGCTTCTTCCTGGATGCCAACTTCGACGCCGTGATCGAGCTTCCTGGTCACAGAATTTGTACCGAATGACTTGCGATTTGCTTGGCTTGCAGAACAGAAGGCCTAAACGCCCAGAGAAACTTCCTCTCTGGTTTGGGTACGGCGCGCAGATGCTACGACTTTCAGAGCCGCGATGGGCATCGTGTAGGCAGACAAAGACCTGGCCCTCCAAAGAAGTGCAAGACAAGTGCGGCTGCAAGTTTGGTGTGGTTTGTTCTGTCAACCCGACTGACAGTGTTGATAGAGGCATTGATGCAGCCTTAGCCACAACTGAACTGGGGCCTAGGCTTAAGGTTTAGCTTGTAGAGCTTCTCGTAGTGTCCAATGTGGCAACTCCCATTTCGACATGCAGACCCAATCTCGATTTAAGTTGCTATCTTGCACTTCGAAATGCCTTACGCTTCAGCCTGAAACAAACACTAAATCTGAAAGATGTTGATGCCACGCAGCTCCTTCCTGGAGTGTTTGGTGCTCCCAGCGGAGGAAGGGCATACTTGGCCACTTCTCAAGTTTCAAAATGGATCCTTAGGGTAGGATGAACCTTGGACTCTTGGACTCTAAACTCGAAAGCCATATGGCCGGCAAAGCTGAGGCCTCTGCGCCAAGCCGGTGAGAAGTCGAACTATGTCAGCATCATTGCCGGTGAGCACAAGCTCGCCAAGTTCAATGCGCCCTTTTTTGATGTTAAGGGTGGTTTGTGCACCGGTCAGACTGTGTTTTTTGGAGATTCGTTTTACAGGGGTGTGTGAGCTGAGGCTACACACAGAAACGGTGTAGCTGGAAACGGTAGCCCCGTCTGGGGTTTAGGGTGTTTAGGCTTTAGGGTTTAGAGTTTGCAGGGGGTTTGCTTGTGGCTCTTCTCACGATGCAGCTGATGCCCTTGCGTTCCAGAAAGTGGGCACCTCTTCTTTGACTCGCCACTGCTGTCTTCCACTCCCCCGAGCCAAGAGTCACGACCACGCCCTTTCGGCACTCTTGGGGGTCGCAAGTCGCTGGATGCAAGTCGCTGACGACCTGTTGCATTCCTGTAGCCCGCAAGCCTTCAGGCTAAACCAAAATCCCAAACCCTCAACCTTTTTTGCCTTTAGCCTTAAATTCTACATCCGACGTCCAAATCCTTCAGCCCCCAATACCCGAGCTTCCCAAGGTGCAATCAGGCTCCAAGCTTGATGTCGCGAATGCCGCCCGGCCGGATATCAATTCTTGCATGGGAGCTTGTTAAAGATCATCGAAGGGATTCAGAGTACAGGGCTTAGGATTATGGTTTCTGAGGGGGTTTGGGGCATGGGGCTCAGGGTTTAGGATTTGGGGTTATTGGAAGGGGTTTGGAGCAGGCAAGCCCAGTATAGGTTTCTTTGGCAAGCCTCGTTTGGCAGACAGCCAAGGAAGAGCTCTTCCAGCGCACCTTGCAGGCCCCCAAATTCGCCAGCCGCGCGCGGGCTTGATGCCCTCACTGAAAGATGTGCGGCACGGCTGGCTTCTGTACAGTCTCCGATGCACCAGTTTGAATAGCGAACTACCCACGCAGATCTTGCGGACTTCGGACAGCATCTTTTGGATGCAGGATCCCGCGACAGAAGGTATGTAGTATCTAGTATGTAGGGAACACAAGAAGCAAACCAGCGCCCAACATAGGGTTTAACAAGGATGACTGGGTTCTAACGGCAAGCAGGACAATTGCCTACTGGAATGACAGCTTCTGCGGTTGCCCCCACGCATGAAGGTACTCTACCTGTGACGGTACTCCCATCACGAAGATATACTCCGCTTAAGTGAATCAGGGTTCCGCTTGTTCTATCATTGGGTCTCGCAACTTTTTTGCTAAGGTCGACACTGTCATGTCAGCGTACTTTTCCGCCCATCGTGACAGCACACTTGTTCGGGCCTAGCTGGGCATGATCGAGGTTCAGGTATGGATTGCTGCGGGATCATGGCAGTCTGCTAGATTTGGCTGTCTTCCAGGCGGTGCTGCTAGCAAGCACCGCCGCTCCTCTGGATTGGGCTTTGAATGACCCTCTCCTGGTAAACTCTTTTAGGCGACTCGACAAAGATGCAGCTGGCCTGGCGAGTTGCGGGAGTCGTGCTATTACCCGTCAATCCCGTACTCTGTGATTGTGGGGCTCCAACCCAAACCCCTCAACCCCTTTTTACACCCCTGAACTTTGTCATATACTTCTCTATACTACGCATGCTCGGTACACTTCTGTATTATGTTATTTATGTTGATCACACTAGGCTGGTATGTATATATATATGTATGTATATGTATATATACATATATATGTATATATATATATATATATATAGATAGTGCTGCAAGACTATAGTCGTATACGGCGTTATCCCACACCGTCTGGAGAGCTTTGCCGCCATGGCGAGGACTACCCCCTCAGATTTCTTTAACCTCTTGACAGGCCAAGCTGGCCACCGCAGCGGGTCTCCTTTGCCATATGTTTCTAGCAAAGAAAGTTTTCTTCTTTGAAAAAGATACATGGCAGTTTGCGCACATCTTGGCTGATTCTTGCATAGAGGGACCGCGGGTGGTCTTTCTCCCCTGCTATGGGAACGCGCCCTGCCACGTGATGCCCTGGAAGGCTTCCTCGGCCTGCTCATGGGGCCACCAGCATCAGCTTGCACCAATATTTGCCCCCCCCCCCCCCCCTCCCGACCTCAACGGTTCACCAGGTACATGAGCCATGTTAAGTGTACCGGTTCGTACCTGTGCACTTTTGGCAGCAGTTCTCGTATAGCCTGGTATTGCCGGTTTTGCTTCCGAGTCCGAGTCATTGAGGTTGCTGGGCACCTTCTTCAGAACAAACTGACATACTGCCCACACCCTAAACCCTAAGCTTCCCCATGCTTGCCTCGGCCACGATCTCTTGGGTGCATATATATATATATCTATACTTCTATACATATATGTATACATATATATATACAGATATATATATATATATATATATATATATATATATAATATAGTATAGTGTCTATTTTGTTTGTATGTTTGTATGTATGTCTGTATGTATGTATGTATGCATGTATGTATGTATGTATGTATGTTGCAGGACATGGTTGGGTACATTCTGACCGAGGGCCGGGTTCGGAAATGACCATCCTTGGCCCACAGCGTGGAGCCTTTGGGGCCCTTGTGCATGATGATTGCGCAGCATCAGAAAACTTAGATGATAGATGATCTTAGCATCTTGGATGATGTAAGCTTGCCAGATGTTCGCGAGGCCAGCCTAAACCTAAACTGTCCTATACCACCTGTTCCTATATCCATACCCATCAGTTGCCACGAGCATGGCCACGGTGTCTTCGGTACTTCCGGCGATTGCAGAAGGGCAGGTGAAGGTGTGCGACCGTCCCAGAACCACACTCCCCCCCTCCCGCAAAATCTTGAGCCTTGAGAGAAAGGTTGATGCAAGGGTCAAGACAATGTTCTTCCAGCAATGCTGAGATTTCCAATTCCAGAGCTCCCGTTTAGGGGCAAGGGTATGGACGTCTAGGCTTCGGGCTGAAGGGGCCATATTAGGGTTCATGAAATCTGGAGGTTCGCTCATGAGCTTCACAGTGTAGTTGGACTGCAGCCAAATTTTTCAGGTTCCTCAGGGGTCTGGTGGGGGCTTTCGGGGCTGGGGGAATGGAGTACTATGTTTCCACCCCTGCGTCCAGATAGTGCGAACACAACAAAGTCACTGGTGCATACAACATGATGACTCTGGAAGAAGACGTGCTGGCGTCAACGTCCATTCAACGGCGAGAGGGACACATCTCCCATGGTTGGAAAACCCCGCCCCCCCTAACATTTTGGTCCCTTTTTTGGCGATTTACAGTGTTTTCAATTGGGGGTGCGCCCCCCGTGGCGTGGACTCTTCCGTGCTATAAAAAAACTGTTGTCACATAGTCCGGAACAGTCCAACCCTCGTGCGACCCCCCCCCCCACCCCCAAACCACCCCGCCATGAAAGCCTTGCCTTTTTTTATTGTGAAAACCCCCGCCCCGCACCCCCTTTCCTTGGTGTCGCGTGTGTTTTGCATGGGGGTTCCCAGTTTGTTGGTTCTGACATCGCTTGCGCTGTGTGGCTCTCTGTCTGACTCTGTGTCTGTGTCTGTGTCTCTGTCTCTGTCTCTGTCTCTGTCTCTGTCTCCATTTACCCATTTAAACTCTGGAAGAATTGAAGGTTTTTGGGATTTTCCTAGGACCGTTAGCGGAATCAGAGAGGCTTATGGACTTATGGAGGTTTTCCAAACCTCTTATTTCCTCTACATTTTCACTTCGCCTGGAAACTTCAATCTCCTTAAAATTTTACAGGAAAACGTCCGTTTCCTCCAAAGTTGTTTTTCGAAAACTCTCTATGTCCTCTGTATGTTTCAGGAGAAGCGTTATTTCCTTTGTTCATTTGAAGTAGGAAAATGTTCATTTCCTCTATATTGTAATAGGGCATCACCGGTTCGCCCCGTGCTCGTGGACTCGATGCAGCTGATCAAGCTTTTGCAGGTGTTTTAATCCCTTCCCCCTAGTAATAACCCCCCCCCCCCCTACCCCCCACCCCCAATATAGTTACATTATAGTATATGGGGGGATTTAATATGAGGGGGTAGGGGGGTTCATTGTTGGGGGGTAGGGGATTAAGGGGTTTTGCAGTTTGAGCTTTAGCTTTGATAACCTTAAACCCTAAACCCTAAACCCTAAACCCTAAGCCCTAAGCCCTAAGCCCTAAACCCTAAACCCTAAAACCCTAAAACCCTAAAACCCTAAAACCCTAAAACCCTAAAACCCTAAACTCTGAACCCTAAACCCTAAACCCTTCTTCCTGCATTGGCCTTGCAGGATGCAGCGTCTGCGAAGATGTTCATGTCGAAGCTCATGAATTCGCTGGCTGGAGTCCGAGGTTCAGGGTTTAGGGTTTAGGGTTTAGGGTTCCGGGATTTCGGGTATTGTGTGTTTTGTCACCATCGGAGCAGAGAACACTTGAGCAGAGAGCGCTTGTCAGAGCCTCGGTTCCTCCTCCTTCTGCTGTCCTTAGCAGAACCCTAAACACAGGCGGTTGCATTTTCAAAGCCGCTCCGTCCTCCCTTTTGGCGAGCCTCAGCTTCGAGAAGTTCGCCACCTCTGCCAAGCTGTTGTGTGTGCCTTTCTCTCTGGAGCCCGGAACCTTCACAAATCCCTATAAGCTCGTGGCCTTCTTGCACCCAGCGTGCATGAATATTCATCTTGGCGGCCCAAAACCCAAAGACCTTGGGCCTCAGATGGCAGCCCCGAAAGGTCGAGAAAGGACCCTCCGCGACCCCCTCCTCCGAGGTTCGGGCCCACATCGAGGACGGTCGGATCATTAGCGGCCAGCTCTGGTGCTTCGACCAGCTCAGGCGTCGGCCGGATTCGGGGAGTTGGGCGTTCCCAAAGGTCATTTGCTTTCTTGCGGCTTTTGGCATTAGGAGGTCAACATGTTTGTTGCCCGTAGCTTGAACTTAACTCTGCACGTTGAACTTTAAACGAGCAGGCTGTCAGACGTTCTTTTGACCTGTCATGGCTGTGTCCAGAACGCACTGCCATTCAAAAAGCAAGCCTGCACGGCTTGAACCGGTGTGACAGGAACCTCATCCTCTTGAACGGTTTCGAGACTCGCACCGACCAGGTGGGCAGTAGCAAAGCCAAGTTAGCCAGACTCTGCGAATTGTTCGTGGCAAGGGAGTGGCTTTCATGCTAGTCAGCACAGTGGGTTGTCAGACCACCTTATAGCAGGCACAAGCCCACGCCCAACAATCGAAGCTCCAATGTTCCAGTCAGAATATCGAGGAAGGTAAGGCCCCTCGCAGGCCTTTCTGATCTGAGTAGACAAGAAACGGGCAGGGCGGACACAGGTGGGGACATGACTTTGGGCTTCTTTGCGCTTTCTTCGTTGGGCGCAGTACTCTTAATACGCGTGTCAAGCACAAGACTCCTTGAAGGACCGCCCCTGCTGGTAGGACTCCAGCTTCACCTCCCGAGCTTCACCTGTTCAGTGGTCCTAACAAGCCCGTAAATCTCCGGCGCTTTCTCCACGCGAAGTCTCAAGGAGGGGCAGCAGCAGCATCGGTCACTGGGGCCCCTGGTCATGGCTGGGATGCCCAGGAGGAGGGATTGAGGCTAGAGAGGGATGTTGGGGGGGAATGTGTTCCGGGATGCTCTGGTGGTGTTCGGTGATTTTTTTTTTCTCTCACCGTTTGAGGCTCGAAGCTTTGGGTTCACAATTTGGGTTTTCCAAGTGTTCCGCGGGCCTTGGCGAGGTGGGGTTGAGGAGGAACTGTCTCAGTGTCATGCATTTCAATCTTGCCATTTAGGAGCTTACACGAAAATAGGGGGCGCCCTGAAAAACCCCCCATGGTTAGTCTAATTTAGTGCCCAAGCTCGAGTCTTCCATGCGAGAGGGTAGGGAAGCTGTGTCGATCAAATCATGTGAATGTTTGGACTTCCCCCCCAAAGCCCCCAAAAATCCTAAGCATGTGCGACCCAACGTGCGTGCAGGTACTGGAGTTCGGGAGACGGCGAACTGGCTTTCATCCCACTCTTGAACAACTTCATGTTGGTTCCACCCCACATTGGCTCTGACATCCTCTGCTTCCTGCTCATGGGCTAAAAAAGTCTAAAAAGCCTGCGACATGAAGGGCCCACTAGGGCCCCAACTCCTGAGCCTTTACGTCCCGTAGAGCATGCCGAACAGGGTTTAGGGCCTAGGGTTTAAGGTTTAGGGTTACCGACCCCGGTGCTTTGTAAACCGTGAAGGTGCCTGGAAAGTACATCCTCAAGCTCGAAGCCACAAAAGCAGCCTCGGAGGCTGCGGAAGATGGAGTTTGTGAGAAAGAAGCCTTCAAGTTTGCGGATTGAAAGTGTCGGTTTGAGCCGCGTTGCTCCAAGGTGGTTGGTTCTTTGATTTTGTGAGCTTCGCTCTTCAGGCCACAGTTTCGCAGATTTCTGGGATGGTCGTGTTGCCTCTGACTAATGGCATGATGCATTGAGCCATCCTTTGCTTGCCCACAGACAGAAAGAGAAGCCAGGTTTTCGAGACAAGATGCTTTCGGCGAAGGGGTCCTCAGTTCACCTGTTCCTTTAAAACCTGAAACCCTAAACGATGAGCTTGCAAATTCCAGATTCCAGAGTTAGGCCCTCCCAAGCTTTTCCCATGCAAAGCCCAAGGGGCTGGTTTGTAGCGATAACCGGGCTCCGGGGCTTAAGCCTTACACGGTCCCCCCGTCAGGTCCTGCAAGCCTAGATTGTGCGTTGAAGCCTTTGCTTCAGGCGGCTGCAGCAGCTGCTGAGGCAGAGGCAGCTAAGGAGCAGGACGAAGCGGACGAAGCGAAGTGAACGCATCAAAAAAGTGTGGTTTGTGAAGATGTTCCATTTTCATTCTAGGGTTCGTCCACAAGACCATGTAAACCAGACATGTTGTTGGGCTTTTCTGCCTTGCTAGGTTGTTCGGGTGGATAGCTTCCAAGTTGTGGGCTTCTAAACCCTTAACCCTAAACCCTAAACCCTAAACCCTAAAGCCCCAAAGGTGGAAGCCCCTCCTGGACTGAGTAACTCTACTGAGCTTGCAAGGGCCCAAAGCTCCTAAAGTCGTGGCTTCAAGCCTTCAACATCCTGCGTAGCCCGAGCTCTATGTCAGGCACAGCCCTTCGACCCAATCCTAGGAACCTTTAAGCCCCCAAGCCCTATAGACTGAATCCCGAAACCCTGACGTTAGCACGGTTCGGAGTTTACTTGCACACCCAATGGGGGTTTCCGAAAATAAGGGACCCCTAAACAGAGCCCCAAATAGTAGGATCCCTGATCAAAAAGACCCCAGTAAGGTATATCTTAGAAGCCCCCCCTAAACCCCAAACCCTAAACCCTAAACCCTAAACCCTAAGCCCTAAGCCCTAAACCCTAAACCCTAAACCCTAAACCCTAAACCCGAAACCCTAAACCCAGAAATTCGTGCGCGCCTCCTCTGCCGGGGCTCCTCTGAGTCTTAGCTGGATCTCCCTCTCCCCGGGGCGCTGCCGTGACCTCAGAGTTGCCGGGCTTGCCTCCGACTGCCACTCACAAACAAAGGGTTTTTAGGGTTTCAAGGGTTTAGGGGTTTAGGGGTTTAGGGGTTTAAGGGTTTAAGGGTTAAGGGTTAAGGGTTTAGGGTTTAGGGTTTAGGGCAACAGCTTCACTTTCCAAGGTGCCCGCTTGGGCCATGGATGGCGAGGACTGCCCACCTGGCTTCGGTTTCCAACCCCAGGGTTGTCAGCCATTTTCAGCTTTCTGAGATGGTTGAGAGGCAAGAGCGTGGGGGGCAGGGCTTAGGGTTCAGGGTTCAGGGTTGAGGGTTTAGGGTTTCGGGTTTAGGGTTTCGGGTTTAGGGTTTAGGGTTTAGGGTTGAGGGTTTAGGGTTTAGGGTTCAAGGTGGGCTGGCATGGACCTGTACGCATCAGGTGGCATGCCTCCGGCCCCTGACTAAAGCAAGCAAAGCTTCAACCGCCTCTCCTTTCGTCACTTGCTGCTGGCATGTTTGTTGGTGCGGGTTCTCTTCTCTTTACTTTTCTAGCTCATATCTTGCTTTCTGCTGTTGCACCATTCCTTCCCGTGTGTCTGGTTCCTTCGCGTTGTGAATATTTGATCTGTCCTCTCGCTCAGTTGAGATTTCTCTCTCTCTCTCCCTCTCTTATCCTCTGACTCCTTCTTAACGGTTCGAGGCTCTTTGTGTCGCAGGTTTGGGATCAAAGTGTTTGGGGGGTTTCAGGGGCTGCAGCTTTGCGCAGGAGACCAGCCAGCCGGTGGCCGTGTTCGGAACCGAGGGCTTCAGCATCGCTGACACTCCTGAAGCCTCGTAGCCATCGAGATGCTCACAGCTAAGGTATAATTCCATATGGGGTTTACGAAAATACAGGACCCCTAATATCGACCCTCAAATAGTATGTTTCCCTTATAATAAGGACCGCAATGAGGTACCCCTGATTTTTGAAACGCCCAATAGAATTCCTGAAGCTCAGATCGACTGCTGAGTCTCCAAGGCTGGTGCGCACCGAGGGCGCGCCCAAGTCGGTCCCGCCGCTGATTGCCTTCAGCCTTTGGCCTCAGGAGGAGGAACTTGGAGGAACTTGGAGGAACTTGGAGGAACTTGGAGGAACTTGGTGGTGTATATAGGCCAGTCTAGCAAGTGCGCAGCAACTTGTTGTCGAAAGCATCAGATTTGAAGCTCGGTCTGCTACGGATAGAACAGGGAGGTTTTTCCAAAGGGCTCCTGCCCCGTGTGAATGCTGGATTCAATCGCATGAAGAGAGATGGATTTGAACTTAATGCGTGGCCATCGTGTGTCCATCAAGGGGCTCTCGGCGTGTTTGCATTGCTGTGGGCCTTGAACAGGTTGCGACTTCGGGGCATTTGTGTAGGATTTCGGGTGAAGGGCCCAGGCTTTGGGACTTTAGCTAGATCAGTGTTAGGGATCATTTTTACTTTTTGGGTTATGGGCTTTCTTATATATAAACAAAAAGGATCCTTTTTTCTTCCTAGGGGAACAGGGATTAAGTTAGGGGGCTGCACATTGCCGCTCGGGGCGCAAACCACACGAGATGTACCTAGACTCGAAAAAGCAAGTCCAAGGCTCTTGGGAGAAAGAAAGGTCTGCACCGAGGTGGTAACATAACGGTACAATTTCATATACTAAGATAAGAAGAATGTAACAAGAAGATGCTATACTAGAATACATTTGAATAGGAAGAAATTAGACTGAAAAGCAACGGAGCAAAAGTCGACCCTGGCATCCTAAAACGAATAAGTTGGCGCAGAGCGTCTTTTGCCCACATTTCTAAATTAAAAACCGCCCTAAACCCTGAGCCCTACACCCTGAAGCCCCGAACCCTAAACCCTGCAAGATGTCGACCCCTGACACCCTTCGAAGCCCGTCCCCTGAGCAAGATTCTTGGTTTGCAGTCCAACACCAGGGCGTTTCTGGGCCCAGGGACTGGGTGCCCCGATGAAGGATTGGGGACATGCTCTGCTGGTCATTGGATACTTAGACCTGGCACAAAAATCTCCAAATGCTTACTTAAAACCTTCAGCTCGACGTAGCGCCGAACCTGTTCAAGTGCTGCCCGTGCAAGGCCAATCCAATTCTTCGGTATCTGTTGGCCGACATCTCAGTGTTCAAATTTCTTTGATTTTTTTTGTTGGTGTGTGTGCGTGTGTGCATTATGCGTGTACGGACAATCACTGCGCATGCGGTCAAGACTCCATTCTCCACACGCTCGAGCACTCCACACTTGTAAAGGATTGGGTACGACTGACAGACACCGCCCCATGAAGACACGGTCAGTTCGTGGTGGGGCAAAAGTGCACGCACCTGTGTGTACCTCCAACCCAGTGATGGTTCTAGAGACCTTGTAAAATTGTAAAACAAGATGTTGCTTCTGGCTTGGCATCGCAGCGTTCATTTACCAGTGGAGCATTCTTCTTCACTGGAGCAACTTGCAAGTGACACACTGGTTCGCAAGGGGCATGCAGCGTCTGCCATTGCCGCACATTGATACAGCATGGAAAGCATCTGCTACTCCACGTTCAATAGCCTCTACGGCTGCATGCTGTGTTCCTTTAACGCAAAACATGTCGGTGCGCACGGGTGGGGGTTGGGGGTTGGAGGGGGCCTTCCCCAAGATCCTGAACCGCAAAGACAAGTTGTACAAGTTTTGGTCCTAAGAGTGACATGGTACTTGCCACTTGCTGAAGAATCACACCCTGCACATGGCTGTTCCACACAAGTGCAGCTGCCAGTTGCCGAATTGCATGAGGAAGTTTATTGTTGGAAGCAGTTCTTGCTCGAGGCTACCAATTGACATTTAGACCTCAGATGCAGCAGAAGCTGCCTCAGCGCTTGCTTCCGCAGGAAGAGCGGAGAATAACCAGATTCCGCTCAACGACAAGAAGATCTCCAAGGCACGTTGGTTGTGATTCAGGCATGGGTTACTTGCTTCGCCTTTTCCTGAAGTTACCTGACTCAGGTAAAAATCCTAAGAAATTAAGCGCAGAGAAAGCTAAGACCAGCTCTTGTAAAGGGAGCGAAGCTCCCTTTACAAGAGCTGTGAACTGAGTAAGGTAAAAAAATATACGTTAAGTAGGGGGTGAGCCGAAGGCTCACCCCTCATGACCCAGCTACTAGATGGAGCTTCGGAAGCTTAGAAAAACTGAAAGAAAGCTCCCCGCCTTTGGGAAGCCTGTCCTTAAGCTGTAAAGACGCGCACAGCACAACGCTCAGGGCAGCTCTGAAGCCTTATAAGGCGAACAAGTTGTTCTTGTAGTTGCGGATGGTTGCACGCCGAAACCTGAAACTTGCAGTTGAAACCCCATGGCAGCCCTGCCCCAGATCCACAGTTAGAGAGCTTGGTAGCATCGCCAAGTTCACAAACCGTAAATGCGTGTGTTCGCCTTTGCATGCCTGTGCTACAATAGCATCTGTTCCTCGAACATCCGCATCCTGACGATGACTGATGTCTGTAAGCCTGTAAGTTGAGAAGTCACGAAGTAGATGCCTAAACCCTAAACCCTAAACCCTAACCCCTAAGCCTAACCCCTAAACCCTAAACCCCAAACCCTACACCCTACACCCTAAACCCTGGAAAGTGGATCAACCGATAGCTTTGTTGAAGCTTGTCCCCGACAGCCCTGTAGCAGGCCCAGAAGGCCGTTGCAAAAGTCGGCACAAATCTGCTGAGATGCGCTTGAAGCCTCTAAGCAATTAGCTTTCGCATGCGCTTTCCCATTCACATCCTTCATATCTACTGGCCTGAACACACTAGACTCACTAGACACAACCAGGGTGAGAGAATCCAGGCGCTTGCCATGCAGACCACCCAAAATTTCCAAAAACCCTGCACGACCTTGAGCGGCCAAGCCGAAGTCTGATATCTCAGTTCCCCGAAGCCCTCAGCTTCCTCAACTTCTCTCAACTTGCTTTGTAAGCCCAATCTCATCCCGCAGAATCATGCGCTGCTGACTCTGCGGACCTGCAAGCGGAAGGCTGGCCAGAGGGTGTTTTGTTTTGTGTGTGTGTGTGTGTGTGTGTGTGTGTGTGTGTGTGTGTGTGTGTGTGTGTGTGTGTGTGTGTGTGTGTGTGTGTGTGTGTGTGGTGTAGGTGTGCGTGCGTGCGTGCGTGCGTGCGTGCGTGCGTGCGTGCGTGCGTGCGTGCGTGCGCAACACGGTGTGTCCGTGCGTTTCTGCTGGAATCCAGAAGCTTCCTTGAGCCCGAACCAAAGCCCAAACATTTCAAGAGTTCACTTCGTTTGAGTCGGACTAGCGTGTAGTGAAGGAGAGCGCTCGGGTTTCAAGGGTTTGGAGACTCGAGGGACAGAAGATGGATTGAAAACGGAAGCCAAAGAAAAGCATTACAAACTCAGACTCCTGCGCAATCTTGTGTTGTGCAGTGTAGTGCTTGTTCCTGGACAGGGTGCGGCTGATGGCGAGGTCATGCGTCGCGTTTTCATCAAGGACCCCGAAGCTCCCAAGCTCCAAAACCATTCACATCTGATGAAGATCCCAAGAAGCTGCAAAGTCTCAGTCAAATGAGAATGGGGGTGGGCGGTGGGGGTGGGTTCCTGGGAAGATAAATGATGAAAATGGTGGGGAGTTTCCTTTTAAGTTTAGAGGAAATAGAGGCATTCCTGCAAAATGGAGGTGCTCCTACAAAAGTACAACATACACAGATGGCTCCATACTGGGTTTGTCTGCTCTGTCGGATTTATCAGGAAGTGTGGGTTGACTATGTTTATTGTAGGGGGATGCCCTTGACGCGACCGCTTTGTTGAATCAGTGGGATGTTTGCAAGGGAGGGTTTTTTGCCGTGGTGTGGCATTAGGTCGGGTTTAGAGGTACTGAGTAGTGTGGTGTTAAGTACCCTAGGTCTTTCGACGTTGTTGTGCGTGAGGTAGGGTTCTTCATCGCAGTGTGGAGGTAGGGTAGGTTTTGTCAAGCCCCACTGCGCATGCGGTGTTGTCAAGCACAGCCCCAGCCTGGTGCTGTCAAGCACAACCCCCCCCTCCGGTGCGGTCAAGGGCAGGCACAACGCTTGCATCGTGGGTTGGAAAGGGTTGATATGTGCTTTGAAGCAAGCTTGAACGCCTTAAAAGAGCGAGAGAGTTGGGTGGGGCACAGCCTTTCCATTTGCAAACGCAATGCTCGTATGATGGCTTTGGAAAGCGTTCATGCGGGCTTTGAAAGAATGTGTATTGATGGCTCCCATTTGCAAAACAATGCTCGCATGATGGGCTTGAGAAGAAGCTGCGAAACCCGAAAGCCAACAAGCCTGAAGCTCCGAAGCCTCACAGCCACCAAGCCCCTCCTCCGCCCCCTGAAAAGAAAGGCAAAGCAAGGCAGAACCCCTAAACCCGAAAGCCCTGAACCCTAAACCTCCAACCCTAAAACCCTAAAGCCTAAACAGCACAAATCAAGCAGAAGCTGCCGCAATCTATGATCCTCCCCTTTAAGTATAGTTATATTATAGTATATTGGGGGTTCTTAATGTTAGGGGGTGGGGGGGGGGGTTTTTATTCGGGGAGGGGATTAAGTAGGTTGAGCTGCCGGGCGCAGGATTCATCGACTTTCGGGACCTTCGTGAACGGAAAGGCGCTGCGAGACGCACATGTGCTGAGGGCGAAGGAACCTATGTAACCCCCTAACCTCTAACCCCTAACCCCTACCCCCTAAACCCCAAACCCTAACCCGAAACCCGAAACCCGAAACCCTAAACCCGAAACCCGAAACCCGAAACCCTAAACCCCAAACCCCAAAGCCGGCCAAGTCTAAGAGAGCCGAACGTCGATCAGGACTTCCCAGGCTTGCTCTACCCCTAAGAAACCGTGCTCCTCCCCGAGGGTAACATCGAGGTCTTCGAGGTTTCGGGTGACTCGGAGTTGAGGGTTCTAGCTGAAGGAGACAGCTCGGAGGCCGCAAATGCTTGCCATGTAGCAGATGCCGTTTGCAGATGAAAAGGTTGTCATTGCGTTTGACGACCACTTGGAAGCCTTGACCCCCCCCCCCCCCCCCCCCCCCAAACAAAAAAATAATAAACAACAATAAAAGAGAGAGCAGAGTTAAATCTAAGAAAGCCTTATTATAAGCTGCGAAAGGCGTTGAAGAAAGGCGAGTGGACCATCCTCCAAGAGAACGACGCGATAGGCCTGGGATGGTGACTTGTGGACTTGTGGAGCAGGAGCTGGATGGCAACATCCCTCCCTCTGGTTCGCTTAGGGAGGGCTTGAAGGGTTTTGGGTTTAGGGATCTGTCAAGAGTTTGCGCACAAACTCCATGTTGTGGCTCCATTCTGCAGGCCACTCAATTCACTCGGGTATCAATTGGTCTTAACCTTTGAAAAAACACCGGCAGAAGCCCTCAGCGATGTGCTGGGGGCTGTCATGAATGGGAGGGTCCGTTTGAAGTCCAGGCTGAAGAGGGTTTAAGAACGGCTTAAGGGCATTGAGCGGTTTAGCGGTTCTCGTGTTCGGGTCGAGACCAGCTTGGTATTCGAAATCAGGCCGAGGATACATTTCCACTCAGTAGACTCAGTGGAGGGCATCAGGAGCCTGAGCTGGCTGAGGATTTCAATGGGTTTGACACGTGCCAGAAGCCCTGCCCGGTGTGGTCTTTGTAGATAACGTACAGATATCGGCAGTTTTTTTTACATGGGACAAGAGTCAAGAGGCTCCTGCGCAGATGCTCCTCTTGAAATGTGCTTTTGGGCTTTGGATGGTGCTCCCGAGTGATGCTTGCGATGTGCCGTCGTCATGGTCTTGCACGCTTCGAGCGGTGGGCCTTTCGTCTGTGAGCATGGTTCTTTTTCAGATGTTCCGAGATGTCACACACACGCACACGCTGGTTGGGGTTGACACTAGCATAGTAGAAGTACCAAGGCGACAACTGCCTGAGACCCTGTGCCAGAGACACCTGAGCCTTGAACCCAAGTGCAAGGCCTACGAAATCCGCACGGCAACCCCTCCAACGGGGAGTGCCCTCCGTCGGTGTGCTGGCGGTAGGCCTCTTCATGTGAGTTGGAGAGGGTATTTAGGGGGGGTCGAAGTTTCTGGGCTGTTTGTTTTTTTGGTGGGGGGGGGGGGGGGTTAGATTCTCTTTGCTTAGTTTCGGACTCTTCCGGGCAGACGGGGCCTGTTCCTTGGGAAGGCGCTGCGGACACCAAGCTTGGGAACTCTTGCTTATAGAAGCAGATGCATGAAGGGGGGAGGGCAGGGAGGGGGTCATGCATTGGTGCAAAAGTGTTTTTTGTTGGCCTGCAAAACAAAGCTTCCCTAAACCCAGAGCTCCAAAGGGCTGACAAGCCCCAAGGCAACAAAAACACCTCTCACTCTCACCCTCTCGCAGAGCAAGCTCAAAGATGTCAAAGGCCCCCCGCCCTGCGAAAGGTACCGCGTGGCATACCAGGATTCCGTGGCGATTGTGTCCGCGGCCGTGGCGCGGGGCGAGGCGGCTTTCTGGGGGCTCTAATTACTAAATGGCGGCAGCCCAAGCCCCCGAAGCTCCCCGAAATCGAGCCCAAGCCCCCTGAACGGCCAGGCTCCTGTGAAGGCAGCCGCTGCCCCAGTCCTTTCTGCAAGTTTGTGGAAGAGCATTTTGTGCAAGAAACGTCCAGGGGCTTAAGAAGGCAAAAAGGGGCTTTGAAGAGGAGGATATGGGATTTAGAGTCTCTTCCAGCAAGCCACTGGGCCCCTTTGTCATGACTCCCCGGAAGCCTTTTGCCGCCATCTTGACTTCATGGGTTGCGGAGGCTGAGAAGCTGTTAACTTGTAAGCCCAAGCAAAGAAGCGGCTGTGTGCTTCAAAGTGCGCACTTGAAGCTTGGATCTTGTGATAACTGATTCGGGCTCAGCTGCAACGGCTGCAATCACAGCTCTCCGTAGAGCATGCTGATCTTCGGCCATCGAAGCTACGTCACATGTTGCTGTGGCTTGGACATTGGGCTTCAACAGGTTTCTTTTGGGTGGTTAGACTGCAGGAACCCAACGGGTCCAGATCCCAAGGTGCCCTCCCAACTTTTTTCAGCACGGAAGTTGAGACCCGAGGGTATTGGACTTCGCCCCAGGAGTCATAATATAGGGCCACAATAGTTAGAATAGGGTTCTAGTATGATGATAAAAGGGACCATAAGGGAATACTATTAGAAATTATTCCGACCCATGTTATTCGACCTCTTTTGTTGGCTCCCTGTCAGCCTATCAGGGCCCCAATGCGCAAGCGAGGTCCCCGCATCCGGTGAGCCCGGGCTCCCCACGGGTAAGGCGCCAAAGCAGAAGCTGCCCGTGCCCGGGGCTCGGAGACCCTAAAAACCCCTTAAGCCCCTAAACCCCTGAAGCCCTAAACCCCTAGCGGGTGTGGTTTGGTTGAGGGGCCGTTGAGGGCCGTTGGAGGGCCGAGGATCCTGGGCCGTTGCCTTGCACTGAAAGTATTGCATGCGTGGTTTTGCTCCGGGAGAGATGCAGGCCACGCCCTGTAATCCACAGACTCCTGAAAACCTTATGCCAAGCCCCTAAAGACACCCAGCCCCCTTACGAGCCATTGTGAAGCTCTCCGTGAAATCGCCTTTTGAAAGTTGGGTAGTTGTCAAAATTAGGGTCCCCTCTTGGACACCCCAAATATTAGGTGCCGTATTACAATAGGGATCCAAACAGGGACCATAATTTTGACAGCCACCCAGTGAAGGGCACAGAAGCCTCATGCGCGGCTCCAGAGCCGAGGCCGAGAGTGAAGACCGAAATTACGGAAGCCGAGGCCGGAGACGCCGGTACGCTTTTTGTTTTGTTTCGTGTGCTCGTTGAAGAGTTAATGTGCTGCGTTTGTCTCAGAAGAAACATCAACAACTCTGCGGGGCTTTTCCTGTTCTGGCATCTTTGGGCGTTGTAACCTTGAAAAGCTTATGCTTCAAAGATGCAAATCGTCCATATTTCTCTCCCACACGGACTCCGGTATCTCGTTTTTTGGGATCTTGCATATGCACACGTAGGATACGATCTCATGCTGCATTGTTACTGGAGTCTGCAGCTCTGCAAGTCACCACTACCATGAAAAATTGGTATGGCAAAAGTGGCGCGAGAGAATCTGCGTGACGACGTGGGGCACAAGACCCTCTGACTTCATTCGCTGGTACTTCTGCACGGGCTAGTTTTGATCTCTGTAACGGGAACGTCAATCCCACAATCCTAAGCCCTAAACTTTAGGCCGTAATTCCGAAAGCTTGAACTCCAAACCCACCTGAACACCAAACTGCCAACACCTCAGCTTAAACGAGTACAAGCTCTGCCGCCTGTTAAATCCAGGGCTTCCCTCGTCTGTCAGGCAGCTCCCACGAAACCGCGAAAGGCCCCCTCTGCCGTCTGTTTGTGTCCAAGGTTTAGGGTAGTAGAAAGTTTGGGCGCTCTGAGTGCAGGTTGAGCCATCGCGAATGAATTGGTGTTGCAGGCATTTGCTTGACTCTGGAGTTCCATCTTTGTTTTGGGTAATCGGGTTTTCGATTTCGGGGGGTCAAGGTCCGCAAACTGAGGGTTTGAGCTTAGGGCCACAAAAAGCCCAGAATGGCTTCAGCACTGGGGATGTGGCGTTTTCAATCTGATAAGCAACTGCTGGCAGAGTGGCTGTGCGTCGCGCTCTCCCCCGAGAGTTCTGTGCAGCTTGAACCTTACTTGTGTTGGCGTTGGAGATGTTGGCCAAAATCGATCCAAACCACCATCGCCACGCCTGAGAAAGGGTACAGCGCAAGAAGCCGATTCGTGTATTTTCTACACAAGAAAGCGTAATTCGGCAACACTCTTTGCGCTCTGGAGACCCGAGAGCAGCAAAACATGCTTAAAGCGCCCAGGTAGCACGAAGACGCCTTGGGCCCTCTGGCAGTCAATCCATACGAGCTTCAGTCAGCGAGCAATTTGTTGCTTGTGTTTCGGAGGACCCTCCCAAATATGAAGCCGTGACACTTGCAGGCGCCGTAACCTCACTGTCGAGAAACTCAAGTCCGGTAGACCAAGCAGAACCCCTGAATTTTTTTTGCCCGAAACCAGAAGTTAGTGCTGCACCATGTTCCCTGCCCTCGGCAGGCAGCAGCTGTGGAGTCGGCTGTGAAGGCCGAGGCGTCTGTTGAGTGCAGTTTGGGGGGGAGAAGGCTCAGGGCGGAAGAAACGGAAACGCTAAACAGTCAGGGAGAAATAGGCGAGGAGAGAATCAAACAACTTCAGGCGCAAGCTCTTCACTGACAATCTCCGAGCTACTCTACGCTTCTCACAAAGTTCCCCCAGGCTTCTAGCAGTGTAGAATGGAGGGTTAAGGTTAGGCCGGTTAGGCTTCTAGGCTTGGCACTGGACCGCAGACTTAACACGCCCCTAAGCCCTAAAGCCCTAAAGCCCTCCCCCATACCTTATCAGAATGCCCGAAGGCCGGCTCACGTAGCGCCAAAGCCCTAAGCTGTCTTGGAAGATTTCAGCAGGAGCCGTTGAGCCCTGTGAGTGCGATCCTGAGCTGGAAGCGGCCCTACACCCTCAACCCTAAACCCTAAACCCTAAACCCTAAACCTTAAACCCTAAACCCTAAACCCTAAACCCTAAACCCTAAACCCTAAAATCCTAAAATCCCTAAACCCAGGCTCGCCGCAGGAGATCCAGGAGGCTGACAGTATGACCCCCTCATAAGCCCTTCGAGTCGATGTCGAAAGCTTGTAGCAGCTTCAGGGCCGTGTGCCATGGATCGCTATGGTCGACTGGCTTTCGGTTTCGGGATGCACTCTTGGATCGGGTGAGGTGCAGACTCTTACATGGAAATGAAGAACCAAACCCTCTACACCGACCCTTGCGCCACGTTGTCTCGGTACCTGGACTATGAAGCACCCCAATCAGACACATCCCCCCCCCCCCCCCAATCTTGAGTCCCACAAAACGCAAGCCTGCGGAGCTCACAACAATCTCAGCAGAACCTACGTGAGACTTTACTTAAGGTGAAGTGTCGGGCGCGGGCGATCGCGATCCGAGAAAGGCCCATGCCGGAAGATTATGGGAAGGGCCCCTTACCACAGGTTCTTTGGCTCAGGGCATAGCGTTGCAGTTTGAGGGCCGATGTCGGTTCAGAACCAGACCTGGATGGGCGATCCAGGGTGCAGCACTTTGCCGGGTTCTTTGCGGCTTTCTCTGGGCGGGCGCTCTACAGGGATACTTTGCCTCTGCTCTGCTCCAGGCGCCCCCGCCCGCAGCGGTGAAAGCCGAGGCTGGCGAGGCCGCGGCCGAGGCCCAGCCAGGGGAGCAGTGCGTAGCCCTCAGTGGCGGCAGTGTAGCGCACTGGGAGTGCACTGAGGTAGAGCACTCTCCGTTCATTAACGCGTTGCGGCGTTACGGTTGGCACACGTCTGTTCAGAGATGCCCTCCACAGATGATCTCTGGATGCTCCCCTAGATGCGTATTGTGCATCTGCCCCCAAGTTTGTAAGTTTCAAGGCAGGCACAGGGTTTCTAGGGCTGTGTGTGGAGTTGCGTCCAGTGTCAGGATCAGGGAGGGTTTAGTATTTGCATGCTTCCAGCTCAAATAGGCTGAGGAGGTTTGCGTGGGGGTTGCTGTTTGTTCAAGACGGGATGCATGAATGAATTGCGTTCCCCTGCGGAATCTTTGAAGGGTTTTAATGATCATTGCAGGTCTTTCAGAGGGCTGGAAGGCTTGAGAGGTTCGAGGCCTGCAGGGCTGAGACCTATGTTTTCTGGTACTCTGATGCTTCTCCTGCGTTTCTCATTCGAGGATTGGGGCGTTGGAGGATAACTGCCACAACTGTAGGGAGATTCTCCCGTATTTTCAAGAAGTTTAGGGAGCCACTGTTTTTTAGCCGCAGCCACCACGAGCAACACCACAGGATCAGCTCCAGACCATTCCAGACCCCTACATGAATCCGATAAGGAGCCCCAAAAACAGCAAGTACAAGTCAAAAGCCGGGAGCGCACGTGGTCCAGGACCCGATGAGCCCTCTCTCCGAAGTTAGTGAAGTCTCTGCTCCTGACGAGGAGGCTCCGTTTCAAGTTCGTAGGGCTTTTCGTCGGGGCCTTCGAGTGTTCGTTTCGGATGGAGGAGTTTATTTGGGCCCCCTTAGCTGTTAAGGGCTCAGGAGGTTCGATTGCCCAAGCTCGCAGTACTTTTTGATGCCTCCGCAAATGTGCCTGTAGCTCAAGCATATCATGCCCTTCCTGCGCGCTATCCTTATCTGAACCCAGGTACGAGAGAGCGTTTTTCGCGACAGGTGTCAGAGACAGAGTTGCATCCCGACCATGAATTTGCACTCTATCACAACCTCAGCCTTCTCAATCCCCAAGCCCGTGCGCGCAAATCCCTCAGTCAGCCGTTATTGCGATACAATGAAGACGGAAGTCCTTCAAAGCTCTTTCTCCCTTTCGAACATCTCTGCCGTTCGTGGCCTGTCAGGAGAAGAATGCGGCAGCGCAGGGCTCCTGACTTGTCGTGCGATGTGGTTCAGCATAACTGTTGGGTAGCAGGCCTCGCCTTTTACAGTTAGCTCTTGCCAGTATTTGTAGACATTGGTTTGCTTGAGACCTTGGGTGCAGGACCCTAGCCGTAGGGATTGAGAGCGGAAGATGCAGTTTTCACAAAGGTGTCTCCCGTTCAGGGCTTCTTTGGCCCCGAAGTGTGTGCTGCAGCCGTTCAGAGTTGGGGGCATTGTTTTTGTTCGTGCTTTCAAGCATCGCGTTTCGGAAGCTCAGTGCGGCTTTAGAACACCTTGTCACCTTGTTGCAAACCGGCATGCTGCTGAAGTTGATTGACCTGCACACCTGAACATTAGCCCAAAACTGGTGACTCGACGTGTGCTTTTGGTGCAGCAACCCCCTAACCCTGAGGTCGATACCATTACCAGGTACGCTGGCATCGAAGTTGCTGGGTTCCATCCATGAAGCAGTTCGGTACTTTAGACCGGGTGTATGGAAGACAAAGTCATCACGACTAGCACCAAGAACCATCGCTGCCATAGCTGAGATTTGGGCGACGCGCTGCGCTTGACGTTTTCAGGGCGCCTGGAACACAGGAAAAACAGAACTTCGGACTTCATCCAAGTCCTAGTGCCTGAACCGTGCAACCCCAGGCTCATGTCCTGCGCATCTAAGCACCAAAACCCACAGCAAAACCCCAACATCTTACATAGCCAGGCGTGATGCCATCGATGCCAGGAATGCCAGGACGCGAGGGGGATCTTCCGGTAGATTCCCAATACCGGTGCCCTTTGCGAAGACGTTTTGTTGTTGCTCATCGTGTGTCTTTCTGTGTCTCTGTGTCTCTGTCTCTCTGTGTCTCTGTGGCTCTCTGTCTCTGTGGCTCTCTGTCTCTCGGTCTCTCCGTCTCTCCGTCTCTCTGTCTCTCTGTCTCTCTGTCTCTCTGTCTCTCTGTCTCTCTCTCTCTCTCTCTGTCTCTGTGTGTGTGTGTGTGTGTGTTTTCTTTTGACGGAAGCCTCAGACGGGAGTGTTTAATGCATGCTGGAAGTCCTGCGTGAATTTCTCCGGATCCTTCGCTCCTGCCGACTATCTTGCGATTAAAGCTCTCTTGCCCAGACTCCTGGGAGTCTGGGAGGATCCAAAAAGTAGAGCCCCCAAAACGTACCCTATACTACTATTGGGTAGGCCCGAGCATAGCAGGGAGCCCTTTCCTTCTTTTGCTACGTTTTCTTCTATGCCACGGACTGGCCTTGCTTACCCTCGACGCTGGCTTATTCTTCCCTCCCGCTTGTCATGAGGTGCTTTGATCAGGCTCACGGCTGTTACGGGTCAGCCTATGGTTTTTCGCTATGGATCTCTCCAATTCATTTTGGATGCCAGCTACCTCCACCTACCTCTACATGTGCGGGCTTATGGCTTACACCTTGGAGATATTTCAGCAACGCTCCATCCCGGAGCTTCCTTTAGCCTTGGAGGACGCGAGCTTTTCTTATGGCAGTCTCCTTCTCCTCCTCTGCCCGTGATAAATCTCATATGCAGGGGGCTCGTTTGTTGCTGCGGTTGATGCCTTCTAGAGGCCGGCCGGGATGCCGCCACAGACTTGTGCAGGCACTTGCGTTGTTCATTGCCGGTTATGTGACGGACCTTGCCTATGCCATGCTTTCGTTTTTACCCAGGCGGAAAGTGCGCGGCAACGAAATCAACGTGCTCACGGAAGTGCTCCACGATCATGCCACCTACTCCTTGAGGGCCAATGGGTTTTTGCTTTCAAGGGTGTCTCCCTGCGGACCTACGGAAGACACTAAACCTAGGTCCGTGCCAGCTCATGTTCAAGCCTTTCTACATCTGTGTTCTCACCACTCTTCGTGGCGGCTCTTTGGCACGCGCTTCTAAACTTTCCATGCCGTCCGCCTCCAGCGATGATGGTTCCAAGATCGGAAGAAACTTACGCAGTGAAAAAAACAACGACTGGGTCATTCTTAGGAACCCTCAAGGGATCTTCAGGAGTCTTGGTGAATATGTTCCAGATCTATGCCGGGTTTGGAGAGCTGGTCTTGGTCATTGTCCGTTGTGGGTCCGTGGGCATCCTTGACTCAAGGACACCTTGGAAGTGCTAACAGCTGCTAACATCACATCAACCCCCCCCAAAGCCTTTTGGGTATAGAGTCTCAGGAGCGCCGCTGATGATGATGCCGGGCTTCTTACCTCTTTGAATCGGCTTCGCTTTGGATCCTCCGCCAGAAGCTGTTGAATTGAGGGCTTTTGGACCATGCAGCCCAGGCTCCAGGCCGTTTCCGGCAGTTTGCAGCCATAAAAAAGTAGCAGTATCCTGCAGTATCCAGAGTAGGGAACATCGATGAAGCAATTCAGGGATGTCGGACTGGGACAGGGGAGTGTCACGCACTACAACTGCACAAAAGAAGCCAGGTGGAAACTGGTAGGTGAGAGCGCTTTTTAACCCCAAACCATAAACCCTGAACGCTAAACCCCAAACCCTAACCCCTAACCGCTAGCCCCTAAACCCTGCCTGCACCCTAAACCCTAAACCGCTCCCAGGCCTGGAATGCCTGGAATGCCGATGATCCCGGGAATGCCTTTCGGCGGGTCTCCCAGCCTCTCCTCGCGGGAAAGGCTTCGAGGATTCTGGATGTTGAGCGGTTGTTGCTGGGATGTTCCCCCTGAATACTATCGTACCCGTTATTACATTCCTTATTCAGGACTGTTAGTACAAGGGGGAACATCCCAAGGTTGCGGGTTGAGGGCTTATGTCGGCATGTGGGCCTCTGCAGCACCTCTTGTAGCCCTTCACGTTGACAGCTGCGGGTCACACCTCAAACCCTGAAGCCCCAGGCGCACACATGCACCCTCTTCATACTCAAACTCTTGCCTGCCCCCCTCCCCCCGGCCACCACCCCCATTTTTTTTGCCTGCGGAAAAAAGGTAAACAAATAAAAACGCCGAGGCCTCCCAATGGTTCCAGGAGCACCAGGCCTTCCGTTTGTTCCGCCTCCAGGCACGGGCACGGGCTTCAGGAATTAAGGGGCTTTGTAGGGCGTTTTGTTTTGGATATTGAGGGCCAGGGTTTGGCGTTCACTGTTTGAAAGTGCCCAAGACCAGACAGCCGTACGTGCCCCATGCGGCCCATGCGATGGTGGGTGTATGGTTTTTTTGCAGTTCCAGACCAACTCCTGAATTTCTTTGCTTGCGGGGCCTTTGTGGCTGGTTGGTCGTGGGTCGGTCCTGGTCCCCGTCGTCGTGGTGGTCATCGTGGTTTTTGTTGCCGACACAGCAGCATGCAGTGCAGAAGTTGAAGCCAGTCCAAGATAAAGGCTCAAACAGGCCCCGAAGAACGAAACGTTTCGACTTTCCTGAGCTGTAGCCCTCTGCCTTGAGAAGTTGTCGCGGTGGCCGTTCTGTTGTTGGGGGTTCGGGAAGGCCATTCTTTCATCCCACATCACCAAGCAAACCCTTAAACTTAGGCCCTAAACTGTGCGAGTTTCCCAAACCCTAAACCCTCAACCCTAAACCCTAAACCTTAAACTCTAAACCCTAAACCCTAAGCCCTAAACCCTAAACCCTACGTGCATGCGGACCCAGACCTTGAGAACTCGACATCCTTCGAGGCCCTAGCCTCTCCAGAGCCAGATAGAGACCCCTGTGCACCCAAGCCTTCAACCCAGCCCCCAAAAGGGTTTAGGGTGTAGGGTTTTGGGTAGTGAGTCGTTGCAGTTTTTTTTCGAAGAGCTGCAGCAATGCAGCACCATGCTCAAGCCCCAAGCTTCAATCCTTCAACACTTCTGAGGCTTCCCTGCGCCCTCTTCGGGGCCAGTGCCCAACGCAGCATTGCCGGGCACCTGCCATTCGGGAGAATGTTGTGAGTTGCAAGATATAGAGGGTTGAAGATTTCCGTGCGTGAACTGTGGAGCAGAGTTCGTGGTTTGAGGTGTGGAGCAGATGGCGTGGATGTTGGATGATCGTGGATCTCAAGGGTTTCATTGCCCCTGTGCATGTCGAATCTGGAGACGTGAGAGAGGTATTAGGGTTTAGCATTTAAACCCTAAACCCCAAACCCTCAGGTCCCAAGCGCAAAATCTGCACTAAGGCCAGGATCCAAAGCTGCAGGCGCATCGTTTAGGATCGCTGTTTGGGGGGGGGGGTCTGGGCTTCCTTCGTTCAGGTTCTTGAGGGGGAGCAGAACGAAGGAGCTGTGTCCCTGCGTGTGGGGGGTGCCCTCTGAAGGTGGGACTAGGACGACTAGGAGGCGCCGGGTGCGTAGCGCGCGCGGTGCGCGCGCTTGTATGCATCCCGGTCCCACCAGAATTTCTGGTGAAGTAAAAAGGAGTCGAGGGCCAGAAAGTGCGAAGACCCCACACAGTGAGAAATCTCACTTCTGACACATTCTTCTTGGGTGCTAACTGAGCCACTCGTCGACCGGATACGGCTGGGGGCCGGGAATGTGCCTGCCAGAAGGCTTGACAGTTCCTGTTGCAGAGCACATCTGCGGCAGCCGAGGTATGGTCTGAGCCTTGAACCCTGAACCCTAAACCCTCATCTAATTGATATCCTTAAACCCTCATCTAAAGCCCTGAAACCCGAAACCCTAAACCCTAAACCCTAAACCCTAACCCCTAAGCCAAGAACCCTTGCAGAAGCCTAAAACTACACGCGAAGCTTCCCGGCCTCCCCCTTCACGCAGAGCAACCCTGCAGAGGCGCCAAAGCTGCTTCCCTGGCCGTGGCTGCCAAGCCGGTGGTGATGCTGCAGCCTCAGAGCACGGGTTTAGGGTTGAGGGTTGAGGGTTGAGGGTTGAGGGTTGAGGGTTGAGGGTTGAGGGTTGAGGGTTGAGGGTTTCGGGTCTAGCGCCCAAAGCGCCAAGTCCCTCGCGCCAAGAGGGCTTCGTCTTCCTGTGGCAGCGAGGACTTGGATGTGCTTCTAGGGTTGGGTTACGGCCGGGCGGTTTCGAGCACTTGGTGCTTTTTGAAGCTTTGACTGAGTAAGCTAGAGTTTCGGCCGTTGGGCTTTGTTTCGTTGGTTTTGTTGTGAAGGCCTGCTTCTCAAGCCCCACACCCGAACCACAGTATTCAGTGCACAAGCCTTTTGGTTCGAGTCCTTTCCTGTGGCATGCTCGACCCCCCTTCACCTCCGTCACCGCGCCTTGGACCTTTTTGAAGCCCTAAGCCGTGCCGAGGACGATCGGTGCAGAGTTCGTTGGCATGCTGATTGGGCGAGTGGGGCCCTGCATGTCAAAGTCAGTCGATTCACGCGGTGTCCAAGCAAAATACTAAGACCATGACAAGCTTCTGTGCCACTTGAAGGATGTATTGTTTTCCCTTGTACTAGCAGTCCTTAATTGGGACTATAATCGGGGGTTCTACAATTACTACAATCCCTATGAAGGACTGTTAGTATAAGGGGGCACATCGACATGTACTGTGCTTCAGTTAGGGGATACCTTGCCTATTTGGGTGTATGGCACCACCCAGCCCCCACCCTAGGATAAAAAGCTATCTTAAGATCTCACCACCCACCCTAGGAAAACATCTATCTTAAGAACTCAGCCCCAGTAGGATGATCCCAACCCAAGTTACCATCCCCCGTGTCACTCTGGGTCTCACTATGTGTTTTTGTTGCTTCCCAACAGCATCGTGGCCTGCTCCTGACCCCGGTGATGTTGCCAGGGTGGCGAAGTCGTAAAGCAGCTTTCCACGGTGCGCCCCCTTCAGTGGTTTAAGGGTTTTTGCTGCTGCAATCCCCTTTTCAGTTTGGACGTCCAGCCTCGCGTTCCACATCCCCAAGCAGTCGAGTTTCTTCCTTAAATGTGGGCTGATCCTGACCACGAGTCTTCAGGGGATTGGACATGTTTTTGAGCTTTGGAGTTTTGATGTTTTGGAGTTTGGTGCCGGTGCAGTTTCGTACCCACAATAGCCTCAGGTTCTACGACCTAAGACCGAGAACTGTGCAGATTCCTTTGAACACACCCAGAAACTCGTCATAACTCTTCCCTCTAAGCATAAAGACCCTAAACCCTGACCCCCCAAAGAAACCTAAGTGTGAAGGATTCCTTGGGCCACCAAAAGGCCCTGAAATCGCGAGCACAGGAGAGCGGTGCTCGCATCGAGATCTCCAAAACCGAGACCGAGGGCGCCAAAGCTGGCGAGTGGGGAAGCCTGTTCGGTCTGTTTGAGGGGTTTGGAGCTGGAGAGACTTCTTGGGGCGGTCGTGTTTTCTTATAGGTGTTTTTTTTGTGGGGCTGCTTTCCTTGGCGCTGCTTAGGCAAGTCTCTGTTTTCTCTTCTGGTCCAGAGGAAACCTTCGTCGTCCCCTGAGCTTAAAAAACGTAGAGGAACTTGTTTAAAAACTTTCTTCGACAACGTAGAGGATTCAAGAGGTTTGGCTACTTCAATATACAAGAGAAAGAGTTTATCGATAACACTACATCCAGTTCAAGTAGAGGGATTCCCAACAAGACCTTGAGGAAAGCGAGGTATGCTATATTGTCTACATACATATGCATGTAGCAATACATATTGCATATACATAAATATGTATATATATATATACATATATGTATACTCCATGTATATACTATATGCACTACATTGTACGTGCAATTATCGAAATAGATATGCATACCGTTTTATATTATATACATATTATATGTATGTATACTCTCTCTCTCTCTCTGTCTCTCTCTCTCCCTCTCTCTCTCTCTCTCTCTCTCTCTCTCTCTCTCTCTCTCTCTCTCTAGCATATATATATATATATACATACGGCTACTTGCGCCTGCTTGTGCCGTGCCGAGGCGCACTGTTTACATCAGCGGCCTCCAGGCTGCTGGCTCAGCTGATGCTGCTGGGTTTCGATGTCCCGGAAATGGGGGGGGGGGTAGGGGGGGGGTGTTCGGGGGGGTGCAAATCACCGAAGATCCCTAAACGCAACGCCCCGACGTTCCCCAAGAACAAAACCCAACGGTCCTCAGGTCCTGAGACACGGACTTTGTCTGTAGGTGAAGGGTGGGTTCCTTTTGCATTCGCAACTTTGCACAACCACCCCGGGTTTAGGGAGCGGCATTGGCGGGATGTGGAGCTTGGGGGGTTTGCAGTTTCTGGATCCATGGTTGTTCCCGCGGCCTGCGATTTTAAATCTCATGTTGCTTGGGGCCTGCGTGCTGTGCATGCTGTCTGCAGGTCTTCGAGATGGATTTCAAAACTGTGAGCCATGACGCTTTACATTCATCATGACCTCCTCTCCAGAGCCTGTGTCGAGCAGAAAATACCATAGGTTTACATGTCATATAGGGGTTTCTGGATTAGTTTCCCAGCTTCTTCTTGAGCATTATCAGGCAGGTTGAGCTGGGCTCCCCCCCCCCCCGATGGCTCTTTGAGCCATCCCCTGCCACAGGAGTCCGTAGACAAGGCCAAAAAGCTCATCGACGATGCGATCGACAAGGCCTGAGCCCTAAGCCCTAAACCCTAAACCCTAAACCCTAAACCCTACACCCTACACCCTACACCCTAAACCAGTTGGAGGAGTCGAGAGTCACTGGGAGTCAGGATTCGGGGGGGAAGTTTGTTTGGGCATCCCAGGTCCGCCAACTCCTCTGCTTTCAGAGGGTTTAGGGTTTAGGGTTTAGGGTTTAGGGTTGCTTTTCAGGGGTTCAAAGTGAGTTGAGGATCCTATGTGTTACAGGTAGCCGAAACATGAAGCTTGCAGCGCCTTCAACAGTTCGCCTTTTTTTCCTCAGCTGTGTGCTAAATATTGCTTAATTGCCGATTGTGGCCGAACCGCAGACATGCCACAAGGTTTTAGTATGTCTTTTTCTTTTGAAAGAAAAACTCACAACGCCTTCACCACGCACTCTCAACACGCACGCTCACGACTTCTCACCAGGTTGAGCTGCAGATCCTGAACCCCCAAGCCCTTTTCGCCTCCCCTGCCCTGACCCCTTAGACCTGGATCGCATGTCCTTGAATGTTGAAAACTTTGGTGGGAATCTATGGAAGTCTCTTCTGTGGCTTGACCCCGAAAGGCCTTCGTGCCAAATCTCAACCCACAACTTGCCTTCAAACCTTGAAGTCCCAAAGCCCAAGCCTAAGCCAGAGGGAAGGAGAAACGTAGGTTTTGTGGGCTTGGCTCGGAGGCTAGAGCTTGGGGTAGGGCCAGATGTACCCTAAGCCCTAAGCCCGAAGCCCGCCCTAAGACCCTAAGCCCTAAAACCCTAGAAAGTGCGCCCTTCTGTGGAGGCCAAAGAACGCACTGGCCAAGTGAACCCGAACGCCAGGAGCTGATTCGTCTTGGTTTCTAGACTTTTTAGAGGGTTCCAGGCACAGGAGTTGGGGGGTTGCTCTGGATGTGTTCTGGTTTCACGGCTTGTTGTTTTCGTTATGATTGAGGGTCAGCAGCAAGCCGGTGGCGAGTATGTAGTGGCTACTGACTATGCAAAACGAAGTCGTACCGTGCCTTAACAACTCTCAAGTTGCCGAACACCCTCCACATGACACAAGGGGTACTTTTTTACACGCCAGTCCTTGGCGGTCTTCTCTGGCCGCAGCTCCAATGATGGGCCTGCAGTTCCCTGCTTGATCCTAAAATTTGACCGCAGTGCCGAGTCATGAATTTTCAAGGTGCAGGTGTGCATACATAAACAGACACACGCCTCAGCACACCAGCCTGCGTGCCTGCGTGCAAATTCACGTCCAACCCTCCCAGATTCCTGTCCAAGCCTCCACTCATGTCCCAGCCCCACTTGGCTTCAGTTAGCTACTGGGCACTAAGTCACAGTGGGACTTGACAAAATGGAAGTCTAGGATGGAAGGGTTCAGGTTGAGAACAGGGCAGGATTTGGGGTTGTCTGTGCGAATTGGCTCTTTCAAAAACCCGACAGCATAACTTCGAACTCGGCCATTTCTGGAGTTTGCCGTCTTGTCCGGTTCTGTCCCGCCTGAAGAGCAGCGCCACGTGCTGCGGGGCACTAGTTCGCATTGTGCCGGTGCCAGCAGCCGCCAGATGGATGGTGCGGGCATTTAGGGTTTGGGGGTTCGGGTTTAGGGGTGTAGGGTCGCCCAAAAGTCTAAGATTGCAGCTGAGGCCTCTGATCTGCACAACTGAGCCTTATTCTTGAGGCCTACGACCCCCAAACCTCTCTAATCTTTCTAACTCCTTCTAACTCCTTCTAACTTCTTCAATCTCCTGAGGCGTGCACATTGAAAGTGCCCCACGAGCTGATCGGCATGCTCATTGGGCGAGGGGGCGAGACGATCAAGGACTGTGGGGCCTACTGGCATGTATCAGTATTTCTTACTGGGAAGTGAACAACAGTGAGGAACACTAAGAGAGGCGTTTGCTTAAAGGCTTACGGGCAGTTTTTTTCATAAACTAGGCAGTGATTCTTCAAAAACCGGCGCTTCCGACAGGGCGAACGTGTCATGCTTGTGCTCGAAGCCCTTCTTCTTTGTTCGCGTCTCTTTGTGTGTGTGTGTGTCGCTTTACATTCCTTTTCTGGTTGTTGAGGAATCAACATGAAGATTTAAGAGAAGAAGGCGAAGCAACAACCACCAATATTCGTACTGCTAAGAATAGCAAGCAGCAACTTGGAAGGACAAGTTTGCTTACAGCCATGACCTACTTTCACCCCACTTCGCTTCTCCTCCTCTCTCGCTTCGTTTCCCTCGTCTTTCGACTCTAGCAAAAGAATCTTCTCAAAAAAAGCGCGTCAAGTTTCCCATAAGCAGTTGCAGGAAGTAGTAAAAGGACTAAGAAGGACCAACATGAAGGAAGACAAGGTGCGGAGAAAGCAAATATGCGTATGCCACCTCTGTCGTGAAGGAAATGGGGGCATTTTTTGCTTTCTATGCATTTTCCTTATCACACTCAACAGGAAAAATGGACTGTCTGGGTTGTCCTTTTATTACAAAGGAGGGAGTTGGCCGATACCAGCGCTAGGCAATTCTTGACCTGATTGCTTTGGCAGAATTTGCTGCTATCGGCTCCGGAAAGACAACGCGCAAGCACCCAGAAAGGCGCGTCACACGCACCATGACCCCAAAACATGTTGGGAGCAAGTTTTATTCCAGAAAGACAATTGCAAGCACCGTGACCCCGCAATTTGTTGGGAAGCCACACATGCTCTTAGTTCGCAGCCACGCCCTTTCCCTTCGTCTGGGCTAGCTTGCATCTGAATCCACACGGGCTGCCAAAGCCATAAGGCCGAGCAAAGCTCAAGAAACCTTCCAAGACTCAAAGGTCAAGCCTCAGACCCCACCCACCCTCCCCGCTGAGAAGAGTGGGGTTGATGTACATAAGGGCCCAAAAAACCACGTAAAGACAAGGATCCAACCATTGTGGTATGAGGGCCTCTATAAGGGGGATTCCGAAAAACCCTGTTTGTAGGATGGGCCCCCGAGTGCAGGATCTGAAGAAAGAAAGCGGAGCTCGTGCGGGCCTTGGCACACCGAGCAGTAGTGAGGGTGTTGATGGGGGTTGTCTCCAGGAATACAAAGGGGGTCGGAAGAATTACTAGTCGTATTCCCTTGTGGTTCCTTTATAGTTATACTATTATGGCCCCCAAAGCCCTATTCTAATCATCAAGGCCCCTATATGACCCGGGGTCATCGTGATGGAATGTTTCTGGTGTGGCCGGCATCGCAGTGCAAGCTGGAGGAGTGATGAGGCCTCCAACTTTTTCAGTCATCTGAAGCACTCGTTTCTTGTTCCTCTACCCTACATGGTATCACCCGCAATAGGGGGAACCCTCAATATGCCTCCCAAAATAGTACAATCCTTTCATTAGGAAGATGGTGGCGTCTGGGAATCCCCAGAAAACAGAGCTGTTCCCACCTTTGGAGGGCCTCGGACAGGTGATGGGGGACAGTGTGTTGAGGGAGCCAGGGCCGCGCAAACTGCTGAAAGTCTCAAACTTTCAGGCCCGAACCCTAAGGACTGTGAGAAAATTGAGCTTGAGCTCTTGAGTTTTCGGGACGGCTCTGCGTCTTGTGCAGCAAGCCCCTGAACCCTCCACCCAACTGCACGCAAGCTCCACCCACAACCAACGAAAGTCCAGACCCGACTGGCGAGACTTTGTACTGAGCCCTAAGCCACACTATTGTGTCGGTTTAGGGTTTAGGGTTTAAGGTTTAGGGCTTAGGATTCCGGTCCAAACCATCTCGTCGCCCCTCAGGCATTGACATCGCCAAGGAGGCGGACGAAGAGGGCTCCACCGAAAGCTCCTTCAGCTCGATTTTGGGCATTTGACGGGCGTTGGGGGGTTTTAGGGTTTAGGGTTTAGGGTTTAGGTTTTATGCCCGGATCAGTGAGATTTCGGAGAGAGCAGCACTTGCGGCTTTCCATGTCATCCCAAAATCTAAAGTTTTACTCAGAATTCAAAGTTGGGCCTTATTCCCCTTTTTTAGGGTTTAGGCTCCCTTATAAGCCGAACCCCCGAGGTGACTCAACTGTAATAAGGGTAGGTTGGTTGTCAGATGCTTCTCCAGAACGATGCCCTTCCTAAAGGCCAGGGGTTTCGGACTTTAGTATTCCAAACTCCGAGCTAGAACCATTACTGGGACCCAGAGTAGGGCCTTATTCCATTTTTTGGGGGGCTTAGGTTCCCTCATAAGACCCCTTTAAACCACAAAGCGCACCCTTTCTATTCCCAGGTTACTGTTGGGTCGAGATTAAATCGCAACGTCGATATCTCCCCTAAACCTGCAGCTCCAAGGGCAAGTGCACATCACCGGGCCGCCGGAATGCGTAGAGTTCGCACCGTGGCCGCGCTTGGGGGGGACAGGTGGGGCGCGTTGTGTGCGGTTCAAGTGGTACACCCAACTGCAGGCCTGCCATTTTACATGGGCCTTGCGGGCCATGTTTGAGGGCCCGGTTGTGCCCTAGAGCCTAAGGGGGCCAGCTTCTGTGTTACTCTGAGCAAAGTCCCCCCCAACCCTACGACCTCAGCCTACATGGGCTTGGATATTTGCGGCATTGCTGAAGTTCTTTGGCCGTGGCCGTGGGGAGCTACACCCTCACCCCAAGTTTGAGATTCGTTGAAGGATTTGGGAGGCTTCCTGCAACGGCTCAGAGTTTGGAAGAGACCTTTGCAGCTCGAGGAGTATGATATGAGCATTTTCTACAAACAAGCCTGCCACGATTGCACAAGTTCTGAGCCCCAGACCACGCCAGCTTAGTCCTAAGCCGGGACACAAGCCGGACAGAAGCCGACGGAAGCTGACACAAGCCGACACAAGTCGACACAAGCCGACACAAGCCGACACAAGCCGACGCAATAACCAAAAGAACGAGGCCAAGAAGATGATCGAGGACATGCTCGGAAAGTCCCGGGAGTCCCGCGAGGGCAAAGATGGCCAGAGGCCACTTGTTGTGGAGCATGCTAGGGATGCTGGAGGGTTTGTGGCCTAAGCCCGACGCCCGAAACCTAGCCAGGGCTTCCATGAATTTGGGTTTAGAGGTGCTAGGCCCTGGGAGCAGTTGCGGGAGTTTGTGCTGGATGTTCGCAAACATGCCCGACAGGGCGGCCACGGGGAAGGCCATCAGTGCATCATGCACAGAACTAGCCGGAACCCTGAACCCTGAACCCTGAACCCGAAGCATCCCATCAAGACAGCTTGGGAAGTGGTACTTTGACTTGTCTTTACCTCGGATCACCTCGGATCACCTCGGTCAGAAGAATAGTAGGTGTTAGGGCGGTTAAGGCCCGCAAGAGACCTCCCAGAAAAGCTCCCCGCCAGGAAAGGCTCGGGAGGAAGGGTGATCAAGGCCGGATGCTTGTAGATTGTATTGTGTTTTATTGTATTATATTGTATAATATTGTAGTACATTTTTAGTCTTCCACCACAGCTCTTTTTGTGGGATTTGGTTCCGTGGTTCTTTTCAAGGGGTGCACCACGGTGCAGCCCTGGCTTGAATTCCTCAAGCACCTAAACCTCCCAAAGCCTGCAGAAGGAGCTCTAGTCATCTTTTTCTGAGTCGGAACTATAGAGGGCTGGTATAGCTGCCGAGATCTATATCTATAGTCGGTCTCTTCTTTCAGCTCTGAAGGCGTCTTTAAGTCCCAAGGCCCTCAAAATCCCCGAGAACGAGTCCTCCTGCCCAAGAGCCGTGAAACCCTTAAGCCATGCCCGGGTTTAGGGTTCGGGGTTTAGGGTTTAGGGTTCAGGGTTCAGGGTTTAGGGTTCAGGGTCTAGTCGAACCCGCCAGGTGCCGACCGACATGATCGGCGCGGCTCTCGGAGGTGTTCCAGAGCCTCAAAAAGCCTTTTGTTGCGTTTTCAAACCCCGCCGCGCACTGAAGTTCACATCCCACACCTTCTCTACACGTTTACAGAGGGTTTACACCCTTGAAGCCCCCCAAAATTCCAAACTAAAGAGGCGGCAGCCTCTTGCAGTCCCACCTCCCAAGCTACAAGCGCTACAAGCCACAAGTCACCGATAGATGGACGTGCCTTCGATCTTTTGGGATTTCATGATGTCCGGGTCATTGGTTCCGACTCTGGCTACCCAGAGCACCAAGAGAGCACGCAAGGGCACGAGACACTGAGGAGCCAGTGTTTTTGCTTAGTTGAAGGTCTTGTCATGCTACGATCAGCATGCAGCATGTCGACATGCACACCGCAGGTCATGCTCCTCGAATTTGAGTTCTCAAGAGGGAAAAGATCCAGAGAGAGAGAGAGAGAGAGCGAGAGAGCGAGAGCCCTCGCCATCCTGAACCATCGACTCAGGATTCCAGTAGGTCCTGTCTAGTTCAGGAAACTCCCCAAGCCATAACTCATCCAGCGGGCCCAAATCTGGGCCAGCTTTGCTGCGTTTCGGGGCTTGGGGCTTTTGGAGCCTGAAGACCAACCCCGGCACCTCTTCCCCTCCCAGGTGTCCTCATCGGGCGAGGTGGCGAGACGATCTCAAAGATCCAGCGCGAGTCCAGCGCACGGATTGAGATACACAAGGCCACGGTCTCCCCAGACTCCTGAGAGGGCCACTTCTATGAGTGTTCATGACTCTTGCTTGGGGCAGGTAGGGGGAGGACACGGTTCGGAAACTCTGCGGGCTCTTGATTCCATCATACGATCAGGGGGTGGGCGATATTGAGCGTTTAGCTTCTGCCCCTCCAATATTGATTGTTTCAAGGGAACCTGTCCATTTGGTGGGTGGGGGGTCAAGAGTGACCAGTTCCAACCCTCACGAGAAGCAAGAAGAAGCACAAGAAGAGAGCAGTTGCTGCAACCCCGTCCTTGCTGCGCACGGGCCCCAGACCCAAGTACTCGGTCTGGCTAGCGTGGCCAAGGGCTCGCCCCTCGAAGGCGCCTGGAGCCAACCGAAGCCTTTACCTTTTGCTGATCCAGAGACTCTGGCGTCGGCTGCAGTTGGGGGAGAGCAAGATGCTGTGGAGAAACGCCTTGGGAAAAGAACGACCGCTTCCCGGCCCTCCATGGAGACATCAAACTCCAGCAAAAACAAGAGGCCAACATGTCAGAAGCTCCCTGAGGCAGAGGGGAACTACGAAGAACCCCATCGCTTCGACTCGCCCTGCGCAACCAAAACATACTCGAAGGAGGCGATGCACCCAGCAGAACGAGACTCTGTCCAGTCAATCATATGGTGATTTCCGTAAACTATGGTCCCTTTTTTGGGGTCCTTTTTATAAGGCGGACAATAATATTTTTAGGGTTCCCAGAAAGGGACCCGAATTTTGAGAACTGACCATACGCAGATGCCTTGGCGAGCCACTTTATGGGAGCAGTCTCTGGACGCTCTCTCGCTCTCTCTCTCTCCATCATCTTGGGTTGGGCGCTAAGCATGCAGAAGGATGGCAAGCCACGGTCCCACGTTGAAGCTCTCGTGCTGAGACCACAGTCCTGGGATGGTTTATGGAGGCGGCGGCTTGGATGTAGGGGGTCCAGGGCTTCCTTGCTGCCACAGCCGAAGTTTGCCCAAAAGCCTGGCCAAAAGTGTGCAAATCCGCACAGCTCCCAATGCTGCGGCCCCGACAAGTTGCATGAATTCCAGGTTTCTTTATGAATCAAGAACAGCCCGGCGGTTTTTTCCAGGGGATTCCGTTTTTTCCTCCTTGGCGAAGCTGTTGGCTTTGGTTGAAGTGCGGTCGGCTTTTCAGGATCCTGGATGGATTCAGGTTTGGAGGGGTTGAGGTTTAAGGAGGGGCTCAAAGATGCTTTAGAGGTTATAGGGTTCTTAAGGGAGGAATTTTCCCTTGGTGCCTACCCCCCATGTACCCGTACCCCCCCCCCGCCCCCTCCCTTAAGAACCCCATAACGAGGGGGAGCCTGATCAGATTCCTGATCTCAGCTGACGTCTTCGGATGGGCAGGAGGCTGATCGCGAAGCCATGGAGCGGCAAGTGACAATCACCGGGTCTGCGGAGAACGTCACGAGGGCTGCGGCCCTAACTTACATCAGTTCTTACATCAGTTACACCATGTGCCATGTTCGCGAGCTTTCCGCGAAGCACCTGTGAAGCGTTCGCAAGCGTTCGTCTGCGTGTGCCCGAGGCCTTTCTGAGCCGCGATACTTGTTAAGAGCGATCGTGTCTTGTGTTGCAGGTCGTTCTATAGACGGTCTCGTAATTGTCGTCGTTTTGGGTGGAATCCTATGCACTTGCCAACAGTCACAGGGATCCTGCACAGAGGGGGCCCCACCCTCCTAGCTATCGCCTCAAAACTCCTCCATTCGCTGCTTGTTGGTGGCGGAGATGCCGCGGATGGATTCCGAGATCACCGCAGACTGCAAGTGGGGAGGGGTCAAGTGCTCTTCACCCCCTCCCCCCCCTTTAAATTTTCATGCGGGCTGGTGCAGCTTGAATGGCCATGTCCTCCAGCCCAATCCGAAGAAGCACCGTAAGCAAGCCAAAGACATGACCCAACATGGGGTCCCTTTCAAGCCACGAATGAAGTTTGCGCAAGACCAACGAAGTCGCGGTGTGCAGACTAGGTCGGATGCATCGTCCAGAAGTGTCAAAGCACGATCGCCAGAACCGCACCCGCGTGCCATCATCCGCGTACCCCTACCGGAGTTAGCCGTAGTTCTTACGCTCTAGATGCTCAAGGGGGTTTTTGGCCTTAGCGCTGCGGGAGGATTAGGATGTCGGAAACCAGCGCTGTGCAGACTGCAATGAGCTCGAAGGAGCACATCATCAAGCTGTGGACCCCTCGTCAAAAACCTCCCAAACCTCCTAAACCCTGTGGGCCCAATACTGCCACCACAATCTCGGTTGGAATAGCTGGCTGACATCTCAACTGCAGTACTGCAGTACGCAGCCTCATCAACTACCCCTGCAAAGCCTGGCCGAGGCCATCAATGCCATCGACGACGTCCTCGATGCGGCGGAGCGAGCCGGCAAAGGTTCCCGGCGCACGGCTCCCAGTAGCGAATATGTGTGATTGAAGAGAACACACCCTAAGTCCACTGCAGATACGGGCCGCTGTGTCCTTCAGCCTCTGATTATTTTGCCGCCGCTTTGTTCAGTTCATGTTAGCTGTTGACACACGTGTTCCGGACGCGAGTCAGAAGCAGAACCACTTTAGAAATGGCATGGATAGGCTCTGGCGCATCCGGACGCTTGTATTCTCCACAAATAGGCCTGAACAATCTCAAAATCGAATCAAGTCGCACAGATCACGCGCTGGAGCCTTATGTTGATACGAGTGCGCTGCACGTATCGCTCTCGCGAATGAAGGCAATGTGACTCGGGCTGTTTCGAAACTCTGTTGAAGACAGCAAGTTTGTTATATGATTACACCCTCGGATATCAACAAACTAAATCCGCTCAAACTGGTGGAGTTGCTACACAGGCCACTGCTGTGCACTGAGCACTTCAGACACTCGATGCTATTGAGCGTTGAGAAGATGAAAGCCGATCTCTGGAGTCCGAAGCCTTGGACCACTTGTGCAAGAAAGCGGGAAAGATCCTGAAAGCCTTACCCTAAACCCTAAACCCCAAGCCCTAAACCCTAAACCCTAAACCCTAAACCGGCCTAAAGTCCAAACTGTTCAGCCCAGGCCGGAGGGACCACGAGCCAAATCCCCGGGCTCCGGAGTTGAGTCGCTCGAAGGTGTAGGTGAGCGTGTGTGTTGCTTCGTGTTTTGTGCTTGGGTGTGTTTTGTGTTGTGGGTTTGTTGTTCTGTCTGTGTGTGTGTGCATATATGTATATATACATATACATGTATATGTATATGTAGATGTAGATGTAGATGTGAATGTGAATGTGTATGTGTATGTGCATGTGTATGTGTATGTGTATGTGTATGAGTATATACATGTATATATATATATATGTACATAGATATACATGGAGCGTTCAACTCCGGACGGATGAAGAGTTGCTGTACAGGGCTTGGCTGAGCCTCGGGGATTTTTGTGCTCAGGGCTTTCGAATATTGGGATGTTCTCCCTGATACTAGCAGTCCTGAATAGGGATTATAGGACCCCTCTTATCATCCCTATTCAGGACTGTTTGTATAAGGGGGAAAATCCCAAGAGGTGCAGATCAAGGTATGGTTGAGAGCTTTGGGCTTGTGGACCAGCATCTGACCAGAACCCCACCCCAAAAGTCGTTCAAGCACGCCCTGGCCCTGGAGTGAAAAGCCTCCAAAACCTGGGCACTAAATACATCTAAAATCCTAAAGCTCGAACCGTTCAATGCTCCGCGCAGCTGTAGCCTCCAACTCACACGACGCACTCCGCATCTCAGCACAATGCCCCCGCTGCTAAGGGCAGACGAGGCCGCCGCCATCGGGTTTGAAAACTTTGGACGTCCAGTCGGGGCTTTCAGAGACTTCATGGGTTTGAAATGAGAGAGTTCTGCTTGAGTTCTTCACGCTGACGACTGAGGGCCTTAAAGAACCGCAAATCACCTCGAGCCTTCTCATCCTAGGATCCTCCCCTGCTCCCCCTCCCCCACTCGCCATGTTTAGTTAGGGTTTGGGGTTTAGGGGCTTAGAGTTGGAGGAGTTGGAGGTATTATGCGGTAGTGCCGCAGAACGCAGAGCCCCCACAACCATGTGTATCTCTGCACAACACCGTGTGGATCTGAGGGCGTTGGCAACTCTACGCTGGAGGGCTCGGGAGATACTGAAGCCGAACGAAGGCGAAGTCCCAACACGCTTAAACGTCTGTAGGAGGCCTCTGAACGAGCACGTTACGAAGCCTCTGAAAGCCCGTCGTGGCATCCTGTCAGGGTGCGTTGGTCCCATTGGACCGGAAGCCCTCGCCCGTCCGAGACAGCAGCTGCTTGTCGGCGTGTTGCTACTCATTGCTTAAGACCCCAGTAAAAATAAACATATTCTTCCTGATTAAGGGTAATATAGGGATTATTGTTTTTTTATTATTCTTCTGGGGGTTCTTAAGCAAATAGTAGGTTAGGAGGGTTTGGGGGTTTGAACGTCAGGGAAGTTTCGGCCATGGGGACTCGATGGGCCCTTGCCCTGTCAACTGTGTAGCGCAGTGTCCCTGTTTGGAATTGAGGTCTTCGGGGTTTAGGGTTTAGGGTTTAGGGCTTACCATCACCCGAGTTGGTGAAGGTCTGGGCCCAGCCCCTCAACCTGAAACCTCTTAAGCACAGGAACCCAAAGCGACACACGGTACTTAGAGTTGGATGAGGGTGGGTGGATCGCAGCGGCAACGCCAGGGCAGCTCCGCCCCCCGAAGCTGGGACTTCGGGCTTGAACGGCTAGGCTCGGGGAGGCATACCCCCCTCCCAAGCATGCTAGACCCTCACACCTGCACAGCCTACCAGAAGCGTCTTCGAGGCTGGCTTTCGGAGAAGGTCTACATCGACGAGGCATGCGGCCTGAGCGCTCTCCTGCAAAGACGAGGAGGGTTTAGGGTACTCTGAGGGCACATCCGGCACACTCTGCCTCGGGGGGCGTCATGCTTCACCGACTTTCACGGCTTGAGGCTGGCAGAGGTACGAAGCAGCTTCCTTAATTGGTGCGGGGGGGCCCCTCTGAACCCTCTGTAGAGCACCAGGTGGAGATGCCTTACAGACCGAACTACCTGCCAGACCATGAGGAGCGGCGCAGAGCTCCTGGGGTACTGGGGTAGGATCTCCGCTTCGGCTTCGGGGGCTGGGACTTTGGGGGGGCCCGTAAAGGGCACGAAGTTGCGCATCAAAGAAACCCCGCAAGTCCCATCCTCATCCTACACCCTAAACCCTGAACCCTAAACCTTAAACCCTAAACCCCAAGCCCCTAAAAACTAAACCCTTCACCCTCTAATGATGACATATTACTACAAATGAAAGTAATACCTTTAATCCTTCAATCAACTTATTATTTCGTTTAAATCGAATATTTTTTTCTTTGAATGAACCATCTAAGCCTTCAAGCCTCCTCTAATGCATGCGGGGTCAAGCCAGGACGGAATGCCGACTGACCTGGAGATCTTTGTCCGGGGCCTTCCCAAGGCCCGGCGCTGGCCGAGGGTTTCTCGCGTCGCGAGCATGCATCTTGCAGCTATGTGCGGTTTCGGGGACTCAACGTACGTTATGAGTTGGGAAAGGGCATGGGGCTGATTCATTCCACATCTCTCGTCTGCGTGGGGCGAACACACAGGGGATGCTGATCCCTACGCTGTAAGCCATCTGCAAGCATTACGTCGCACTAGTCGCTTCTAGGAGCAGGATTGGAAGGGGCTTTCCCGGGCTGTACGAGTTGGGGGGACGAAATCTTATGGCCTCAAGGAGGAGTCAGACCAGTGCCCAGGGTGGTTGGGATTGCAGTGTGCAGCTGTTCCGGGGAGGTTTGTGCCGAACGAGACCTGTGGGAGCATCTCTACAGGCCAGCCGGCTGTAGACTCTGCACTAGGCCCGAATGATTTCAGTCTTCTCTAACTTCCTTGTTTCTGAGAGAGCACGCAGGGCCTGATTGAGGGCTTGGGATGTTAACCTTGTTGAGGAGGGGGAAGTGTTGGACGACGTGTTTTTGCGTGGCGCTTTGTGTTTAGGTTTCTTGGTGGCGTGATGCTTCGAACAGCGCGGGTGTAGGACCCTGAGCCCTGAGTCCTGAGCTTCCTTTCCTCACGTCCTGACAAAACTTGAGTTGAGGAACCTAGAAGTTCGACTGATTTGTTTTGGCTAGCCTGTTTCCGCATCATAAACGCGATTCTTGTTTCTTATTCCAGACAACGTGCCAATACTTTGCGATCCGCTGTCCGAAGCCCGCACCCCAAACACACCCCAACAAGCCCCGTGCTGTTTTGCCTGGCCTAGCCCAATATTGTTGCTGATACCACGATGAAAAACCTCGTCAATATCGTGGGACCGGAACTCTGGAGCATCGAAAGCCTCACAATTATCGTGGGGCCAGAACACTGGGACATCGAAACGCACGCAACTACCATGACCGGAAACTCAAGGGCAAGTATCATGGGTCGAAAGCCTCGTAAATATCGTGGGGTCGGAACTCCGGAAACCTTGTTAAATATCGTGGGACCGTGGCACTGGGGCACGTACTGTGTGGCCGGAGCGACCACGACCACGACCACGACGGCGACGGCGACGACGACGGCGACGGCGACGGCGACGGCGACGGCGACGGCGACGGCGACGGCGACGACGACGACGACGACGACGACGACGACGACGACGACGACGACGACGACGACGACGACGACGACGACGACGACCGCTTCTACCACTGCTACGGGTGTGTTTACGAAATGCCCACAAGACGGAGAGTAATGTGATTCGAATGGAGATAAAGAGGAAATAGAGTTTACCTATTACAACCCAGACAAACGTGGGTGTGTCTTTTGAGATGGAGGAAAAATGGAGGTTTTCCAAAGCAAAGCAGAGCAGCAATCTACAAGAAGTTCTCGGGTTGCAGGTTTTCGGGGCATGTTTTGGTGCGCAGTTCGTTCAGGCAACCCGATCCCCTACCTAACCCCAAGTCTTACAGTTGGTTAGCAGGGAATGAGGAAAATTAGGGACCTCCATATACCCTTTAAGGGATTATGTAGGGTACCTCATTCCCCCATTGCCTACTAACCAAAGTAAGAAACTCACGCCAGCAGTTGTGCAAATGCAGGCTCGGAGCAACAGACGTCAAGGACCATCACCTGCGACCCGAAGCGCCAGAAACCCTCGAGCCCCCACCCCCCCCCCCCCCCCTCGCATCAGCGCCGGACTTGTAGGGCCAGGGCGGATTGCTTCGGGTGGGGCTTGGAGGAGTTAAAGCCCCAGCACCCGTGTCTTTTTGGGTGGCGGCATCCTTCTTCAGCTGCCAGCAAGAAATGCGCAAAACCAGCAACATCTCAACCCTGCTCCCCAGAACCTGTTTCGAGGAGATTCTGCTGCTGCGACGGCAAAAGCAATCCAAGGGCATGGCGGTGCGCCCATCCCTTTTAGTGGGCCTTAGAGGTGTGCTTTTGCGGTTTCGGGTCCTCTTTTGGGTCGAGGGAGGGTGTTTCTAGTCGGCCTGATTGTAGTGCATGCCGGAATGGATGTATTATATCTTCATAGTTGTTGGCTTGGGTCGGCCGTGGGATTATGGGCTTAAGGGCAGAACTCTGTAAGCATCGCTGATCGCATGCGCAGTACGTCGTCTTCAACCGGCACGACCACGCCGTGATCGCAAAAAACAAGCTCCAGGCCAAAGCTCAAGGGAAGGCAAATCTTGATTCTTGATGGTGTGTTTTTCTGTGTGCCTGTTTTGTTGGCAGTGACCCGGTTCGCTGGTCCACGCTGGTCTTCTGGACCCCTTGGTCCACTGGTTCAGCCCCTCCAACCAACAATCAACCCAGCCTGATCTCATCGTCATCCCCGCCTTTGGTTTGACACAAGCAATCCTTGCAAGATCTGTCAACGCGTAGCACATTCTCATCCTCATGGCTTCCCATATGCCCGTTTTGCAGGACAATTCAAGAGGTAGTGAATGCCTGGCAAGACCTTAGCAAAACGTACCAACTACGTGAGTGTTCTCATCCTCCATGGTTTGATTGCCGCTGGCGGGCTTCCCAACTCCTTCTTTTTTTTGTTTTTTAATTTTGATCTTTAGTTTTTAGCACAATTCAAGAATCAGTGTCGCAAAGCGGCAGCTGTAGTTGCGGAAGCACGCTAACGTTGGGGCATCCATTTGGCGTCGTTTTGTGTCCAACGCTTGAATGGTTCGGGCGTCTCTAGCCACGCCGACACTTGCGACTTTCGCATGTCAGAAGTGCTCACAGTTACAGGGATTGGATATGTCGGGCTTGGAGTCCTAGTGACTGTCATCGCTTGAGGAACCCTTTACGGCACCGCCATCATATGCTGAGGAATTCACATCCCTAAGCCCTAAGCCCTAGAGCCAAGCGAACCACATCTGTGAAGCTTCGAGATCCAGGGCTGCGCCTTCAGGCTTACGGCTTCGGGTCAAGGTTTAGAATGGCAGGGCGCTCACAGTTCAAGAAGCTATCTCCCATGCGAGCCGATTACTTGCTCTGACCCCCAATTTCCGCTCGGCATGCCCTGATCCTTCGCATTCCTCAGCACCCCCCCCCCCCCCCCTCCCTTCCCCCCAGAGCCTCAGAACCTGAAGAGCCAAGCACTCGGTCTCTTCAGGGAACCCCGGCATCATCCATCCCCTGCGGCGGGGAGCTTCAGGCTGAGGCCATTCTTGGGAGATTCTAGGTTAAAGGGTTTGGGGTCTAGGGCTTAGGGTTTAGGTTCACGGGGATGGTGGGACTGTGTTACGACTTTTGGATTGAAAGGACGAAGGTTTTCTGATGTGTGGAAGGATGTCTTGGGACCAACTTGATGGGCTTCTTCGAGGCGTGAAGGCTCTTAGGCCCAAAAAGGCCTGCAACCCCTCCACAACTGGTGGCTGCTTCAGTCACCCTTAAAGGCTCTTAAACACCAAAGGCCCGAGCCAGGCGAAAGCTTGCAGGGAGGTTTTGCTTGTGTTGGTGGAGTCTTAGGGGCTTGCATGGTGCTCGCCCCCAGAGGTTTGGCTTCCGGCCTCAGGCTTTCGCTGAAGCCTGAACCCTGTCCTGCCTCTAAAGGTCTCTGGCAGCCCCCCAGCACCCCCCTGCTCCTGAAACCTAGTAGTATTCCCTTAGGGTCCCTTTACAATACCCCCCCCCCCCCCCCAAACCTAATAGTATGCCCTTAGGGTCCCGTTATACTACCCCCAAAACCCTATTAAAAAGATATTCAGGCCCCTATTTTCCTTCGTCAACTTCCGCCCACTGTTTGGACCCTGAGTCCTGCAGTACGCCCCCTATAAGCCCCCTAAACTCTGACACTCCGGAAGCTTGCAGAACAGAGAGTGGCTGAGAGGAGAAGCAAAGCCTTTTCGTCCGCTTCTCTGAGCCTTTTCCTCGGTGAGATGAGTAGGGACTGAGGAATGTTAAATGTGGGGCTGAGGAGGGATTCTTAAACGGCTCGGCGCGTAGAGAAGGGCGCTTCAGAGTTGTGGCTTCGAGCTCTGGGCAGCTCTTTGGGGAGCTCTTGCCAGGTTGCACGTGTTAGTGCCTTTCGCACATGTCCAGCCGACATGCTGCAAAGGTCAACTTAGCGATGGGTGAGGCCATGTAGAGCCTGTAAAGGCGGGGGCAGAAGGACCCAGAGCCGCCTCCCATGCAACCCAGAGCGCCTGCTGCGATACCCCAAGTTGTCACAATGCTGTGCCGCCCGAAAAGCCCTAAACCTCTTCGGATTTCCCACAGTCTGGATGCTCCACTGTATGGCTCTGCAGGGTTCCGAAGAGCCGTTTTGAACCTTCAAATCGTCTTAAAGGCTCCAGCTAGGCCATCGAAGCGGTATGGGTTCGGGTCTGCAAAGGCTGAAAAAAACTCCCCCCCTGCTCTCAGCTGAATTCTCTAGGCCCACACGTGTCCACAAGTCACCGCGCCCTCAGATCCGAGCGCTGCATTAACGGACGCAGCAACGTCTACGGCGCCGACATGGCCCCTCGGCTTGAGGCCCTCATGAGGCCCAGGATGGGATCATTTTTGAGAACTGATTTTCAAATCCAAATTGAAATGCAGACACAAATGCAAGCATAAATGCAAAGACAAGTGCACATGCAAACAGGAAACCATACGGACGATGCGAAACTATACAAAAATGCACATAATACAGCCAATGCAAGTACAAATACAGATGCAATGCCGCAGTGAAGGCCCCCGGGTTCGTTTGCATTAAGAGTAAGAGTCGAAGGAGTGGAGCCGACATGCGTTTTGATGCTGTGAATGCTTTGTTTTCGGCGCAGCCCAAGTTCCAAGCAGTTCCGCTTTCCTTTTGCTTCCACAAACCGGAGAGGCACAAAGTGTGTGTGTGTGTGTGAGAGTGATCAGTGCAGTGTGACCTTGAACTGCCCTAGACTTTTGAGACTGACCGCTGTCGTCTTCACACTCCTTGACAAGAAGCCTTCCAAGGCTGTGCTCCTCCAGGGCCCCCGTGGCAGGGCCATGCAGGAGGCCGTCTCTTGGGTAGCTTAGGGTTTAGGGTTTAGGGTTTACGGTTTAGGGTTAGGGTTTCGGGTTTAGGGTTCACGTAGGGTTTAGGGTCTAGGGCTCCCGCCGACAGCCGGACCCGAATCTCGTCACTGCCTACAGTTGACACGCTTTCCCGCTTGCGCATGCAAGCCACCTCGAGCGCCATCTCGTCCCACTGTCGCAGTGCACAGAGCCCCGTCGGGTTTTGCAGGGCAGGGGAGGAGGTATTCAGGGCAGTTTGGCAGGCTGCGGGGCTTGCGGGGCTTGCGGAGGGTTGTGGGTTTGTACTTCGTGCATGCAGGAGGAGTTTGGGACGTCGTTTTTCTTTGCTAGGGGGATGATTTCCTTGGCGGAGAAAGGGTCCGTGTGGTGACTCACAATTCAAGAGCGAAGTCACAACAAGAGTGATCGTGGGTTTTAGGAGCCTCTCCATTGCGTTTTGACATGTTTTGACTGTGCCCTGGACCGAGAGCTCTGAAGCCTGAAACATCCAAAACAAATGCGCTGATGACGCCCTAAAGATCTGTTGCCCCTCATACGCCCCCTTAGACCAAACTGCTGGTGCTACATGGACACAGGTCAGGGAGGCGTCCGGCCTGAAAAAGGTGACCCTGACCGGCCGCAGCATGAAGCGCGGGCACCCAGTGTCCGCCTTTCAGTCTGCTGCCTTGAAGGCCCTCCAGAATGCCGTATAACCGCCATGAACCTGGGCCCTTGAGGCCCTCGACGCATAAAAAATCCCGGAGCCTTATTGGAGTCTAAAACTTTAGCAGGGTCCTGCAGGGGTGCAGGTGCCCCTTTTGAGTGCCGAGGAGCTATGGGCAGGTGGATGAGGACCCGCGGATGCACCTCGTGGTCCTTTCCTTGGCTGCCACGGTTTAGGGTTTAGGGCGTTTAGGGTTTGGGGTTTAGGGTTTAGGGGTGCTCGCGGAGTTATCTCCGGGCATGATGGGGGGGTGGAGTCGGGTTCAGGCCTTTGGAGTTTCTAGGGCTTTGGAATAAAGACCCAGAGCCCAAGGCCCCTATGGTATGAAGAGCCCAGCATGTGGCAGATGACCCCCCCTGCACCTCAGTTTCCATCTGCCTTCGCATGCTCTGGCACACGAGCTCGCGCGCGAAGGTCTATTACGACGCCGACGGTGCTGACGACGTCCCAAAAGCCATAGAGGCCGCCAGCAAGACATGAACCCCATCCTGAGCCAATACGTAAACTCAAAAGCCCCATCGAGCCCCAAAGACAGCCCAAAACCCTGAACCCTAAACCCTATACGGGGGGCAACCGAAGGAGGACAGGGAACAAAACAGTCAACCCCAACAGAAGCCCTTGATCCCCTGGACCGACCAACACCAAACCCAGAAAGACACTTTTCCTCAGGGCGCATTGCCCAAGTTCTTGAGCCAAAAATTTGTGCCGGGTACATTGACCCCTTCACCTCCCAACACTAACTCCTTTCTACAATACCAGCTGCAGCTCCGCACTCCCCCTGTCCTAGGATTTCCTAGGACACATTGGAGGTGCAGATCTTTGGCCAAAAACCGCCATTTAGGCAGCAGCCAGCTGCTTGAAATGCATATTATGGTTTTACGTCATCCAGGACGAATCTTCAGCTCATTGGCCGAATCCCTTACCATTGAGGATTTTTTCACCTCGCACTTGAAAAATTCACGTTCCAGCGGCCCGTTCCTCACCAAGGAACTCGGCATTCACCACCCAGCCATCCTTGAGGCAATGCTTACAAAGCGTCTTAGCCCTGGGCTGTGAATATCGCAGAACATCACAGTCACTGCTTGCGTGCATACAGTTCCCACCCACTGTTGTATACAAAGTGGCACTCGCAGGAATAACCACCACTTTCTTAACCCACAGCCTTTTATACAGCTGCCGAAAGAGGCACCATGCCAACTCCCAGAGTATAATTGCTGCCACCAAATACGCAACAAGGTCTGAATTGTTGACGAGCATTTCAAGACCTTGAGCCAGAACCATAACCGTAGATGTGTTGGCGACCTTGCACACCCCTTCTTCTGAGCAAAAGAAACCAGCAGTTGACACTTCTTCTCCACCGGTTGCCATCCCTTGCAGAGATGCAGCCACCATCATGACCGCCATTGCAAGCGAGGCCCTCTTCAAGTCAGTCCCTTGTACCAACAGTCGGAGACCCCAAAGTGCCTTTTGCTTTGCATACACCTGTCCACTCATCAATTTGGTCAACAGGTCAGCGATCATATACTCACCGCGAAGGTGCGCGACCACCATATAACCACGGTCTACCAGAGACCTGACACCGGCTGCTCGAATTCTCAGGTGTCTTGTCCTCCAGCTTCCAGCCGGATATTGAATGATTGAGCATGTCGAAACCGAATCTGTATACAGCACTTTTTGCAGCGATTCTTCACCTGTTCCAACCAAAGCGGCAATTATAGGGGTGCACGACTGAATCATCGTTGCTCCCTCTATGGACGCATGTAATTCAGCTTCAGCCGTACTTAAAGCCACCGTTGATTGTCTTTGTGTTGCCCACATCACTGGACAATCACCCCACACCACCACTGCTCCTGAGTGGCTCTTTTCATTTTCACCTGCCGCAAAGCTGGCATCCGCGTAGGACTCCACCACCTTAACGCCTCGTCCATAACGCAACACCTCATTTCTTTCTTTTTCGCATGTTGCGATTGCTCCGAACGTCAGGCCTAACGTTGGAGTTGCAGCAAGGTATCGGAAAACCTCCTCAGCCTTTTTAACCACAAATCGCGGCCTTCGGGATGTCCACAAAGACAACTGGCTCGTGCAGAACGCCAAATCAGGTCGAGTTTTGATTGCCACCCAGAGGAACTCCCCTACGGCACCTTGAGCCGCTCGCAAGGAAGGAATATCTACCTCCTCTTCTTCACCTGGAGTTTCTTTCACCATTGGCAGGTTACTACCTTTTCCAGTTTCATCAATCTGATACCCTCTTCGGTTCAGCAAATCTCTCACGAAGTCCTCCTGGTTGAGAAAGAAGCTGCCATTTCGATACCAGATTTGGACACCCAAAAACTTCAGGAATCCATCACCACAGCCTGGACCACAGAACTCGGGTTCAGAAGTTTTCCACTCCTTCCTGATCTGTTCCAAGGCTTCCCGGAGCACTGTCATAGTCCCAGCCATCAAAAAATCATCCACGTAAAGACCCATTGTCCCTACCAACTTGCTTGCACCTTCCGGCTTTTCTTGTGCCATAATAAGGAACAGACTTGGGTCTGCATTGGACCTCTGAAAGCTCATTGCTTGTCCATCCTTTGACACCCAAGACATACCTTGAAGACGTTGGTCTCGCCACTCCACCCATGCTGCAGGACTTTCGGCCAAACCGTACAAGGCCTTTCTCACAATCCACCGCTCCTCCTTTGTGCAAAGACCCAATTTCACCGCCGCCCTTGGGGGCTGCACCACCACCAGACGCCCTTCTCTTTGCGCCCTATTCATCGGCGCCGTCAGAAAAGCTTTGGAAATGTCTAAGCCAGCGATGATCCACACCATATATGCTGCGTGCCTCACTTGACACCTGAATGTAGTTGAATCTAAACCAGGAGCGTACAGCGAGTGACGACTGAGGGACCTCGGCCCTTCGTATTCTGTAGCTGCCGTTGACGAAATAAAATTTCCACATGCGCAGATACGGGCACAGGCACCACAATCCTGAAGCCAAATTTTCTGCTCTTCAGATCTCGTGCAATGCTCCGGTGTCATTGCATAGGGATAGTCACAATGAAAAACATTGCTGCAATTATGTGTGTGGCTTTGGTGACTATAAAGATGGTCAGCTGTGGGTTGAGGATGAAAAGGTTTTAGAGGAAGGAGCTGAAGTGGTGGAGCAATCCTATGGGAAGAAAGTCTTACCTGGAAAATTGGTCGATATCCACTGGAACTTCATGTCGTTCTTTCCGAGAAAACTGCATGGTCCTATGCCTTGGAAAGGGAACAGGGTATCCTTGACAGGGTACACACCTGTTTTTATGGAGCGTTTGAGCTACAAGGATAGGTGCTATCTTCTCCAATGCAAGTTTCCTCTTCCGGAACCACAAGCTGAAGAAGGTGAAAAAAGGAAGTGGTTAAAAATGACGTTGAAAGAGACCTCGCTGGACGACCTTGCAGAGGAAGTCGACTACGCTGTGTTCGAAGCGCATCAATGGGCTCTAGAGGAGCATTTGAGTATTCGACGCCTAATTGCTGAACAGGAATGTTGCATTTTGGACGAGTTCCATGGATCGGCCAATGAGTCGAATGAGGAAAAAGGATCAGAGACTAGAGAATGGCTGGTTAAAGCAAAAAGGGCTGAGGAACAGCTCTCGAAGTTTTTGGTCAAAGCAGCTCAAGTTCAGCAAATGGTACAAGAAAATACCGCGCTTGAGGCAGCAGAGGAGGTTGAGTTCCTGCAAACAAGAACAATTCCTACACAAGAAGCCATGCAAGAGCTGGAAAAGTGGAGGGAATCATTGTCGGACGAGGTGACATCTTTGGTGAAAGAGTTGGAGGTGGTGGAACCAACAACTCAAGAAAAGCTGGACAAATTGGCGGAAGAGCCTAATGCACCGGTGATTGAGTACGTTCCCAGTCTGGCGGTGTTTACCCGGAAGCAAGGGACAGGGAGGCGACCACGAATGATGCCAAATAACGACATAGCCATGGCCTTCGATGAGTCTCTTTTGTAATACCACACACTCCGCCATGAGTATAGTGGCCCAACACCAGAGCTCGCGTACTTGTGCACCAATTGTTGATACCACCTCTTCGATTCACCCTCTTTGGGTATACAATCCCTTCCAAAAGCTCCTCACAGTCCACGTAATCATACATAGACCTTTCATACATTGACTTGGCTTTTTGCTCTTCTTTTTCCAACTGTGTTCCATCCTCAGCAGTCTCACTTTTGCAGACCAAATAAGCATTTTCACGAGGAGAACAGCAAGTCGGCCAATACTCATCACCAGGAACATTGTCCTCAACATCTGCATTATCTTCCAGCTCCCCCAGACCCTGCATGTCATCTTCGAAAATTTCTAAGGGCGGACTCTCCCCCCGCTTGCGAAGCAAGCGCAAGGAGCCCACATGACCACGCAGTGAAGAGGCCGGGCTTTTTTCCTTTAACCGATGGCGAACTGGAGGATCGCGAGGCGGAGGCAAAGGAGGACCTTCCTCATCAGCGAACCGAAGCGCCGGTTTTTTCCCCTTGAGACGATGCTCTGGAGGAGAAGGCTCCTGTTCTTCTACCACCCCTTCCAGCTCCAATTCAGGCGGTTCCTTTATATTGGAAAAAATCGTAGTGCAGGGAAATAACACCAGTTCATCCGGATCTTTTGCAGTCCCTTGAGCTTCCACCCAATAACCACCAGGTAGGTCATCGCATGGACCCAAAAGAAGCGCGGGCTGCGTACGATCGACCCATTGCCGACCTTTCTTTGTTCCATCCGGACCCAGCAACTCCCACGGACGACGTTTGACTTGAATCTGAGCACCAAAGGGAAGCAATGCTTTAGGATTTAACCCCAACTCCCTTTCAGCTTTTTGCCACCGTAACATTGACCAATGGCGAGCAGCCAGTGCCCAGTACGCCGGCCCGAGTCGCGCCTCCTTTAAGAGCGACCTGACACCACGTTTGAATAAACCCACACATGCTTCAGCGCGCCCATTTGTTTGCGGGACTCCAGGATCACCAGTGGTCCTATATATCAGACGAGTTTCACAAAAGGACCGGAAGCGTGCATTGACAAACTCCCCCGCTCGATCTGAGTGGATTCTCAACACCGGATACCCATGTCTCTGCAAGCGCACCATCATTCTTTGAACTGCCGACAAAACAGTTGTTTGCTGCTTGTCCACAATCGGCTCCACCATAACGAAGTTGATCATACGGACAGGTTGGGTCAAGTGGTCCTTCAGTTCCTTCCAGGATTTTTCAGAAGCTTGGATTTCCAACACCTCTGCCTCCAGAACTGGCGCAGGTTCCACCGGCGCAGAGTCTTCCTCCTCGAAGTTAGCGACTGCGTCGCCTAACCATTCTCCGACACCAGCACCTTCATCTGCCACCTGATCTTCCACCTCATCCGCATCTTCCTCCTTTTCTGGAGGGCGACCCACATTGGGATCCAACATTGGAAACTGATACACACCAATAACAGCGTGTCGTG